ATGCTAAAACGGCTTGCCATACGCGCGCGTCTATCAAAGTCCACCCTCTGTAGTAACAGCTCACGGTCAGCTCACGTCATGTGTGATTTTGCGGCGGGAACATTATATGAAGACAGAATGATATTTTAGAGTGAATTGTACCTTATAAATAAAGTATGTGACTCTTTCAACACCATTGGGAGGTATCCCTGTTGCTGTGCAAAGTATGTAAATCACTGTGAAGACTTTAAAACTTAGGATGTTTGACCCAGTATGCGTGTCAAAAAGCGGACGAGTCTAAAGCAATGACTGTACAACCGAAATGTTGTCAGACGTCTGATTTTGAGAGGATGGGCCATCCTCTATTTCAGCTCTGCTCATCTTGGTCTGCTAACATTACTGCTGCTGCAATCTGAACTCGTGTGCGACAGCAGGTGGAACGTAGCTCACGTGCAAACAGCTCAACTAATAAGAGAAAACGGACGTCATATCATAATCAAATCGTCATAACGCCACAATGCATATTGTGACATTTTTGCATCGCAATAAATCGTACAACAATAAATCGTTACACCCCTAGTACCTACCCATACCGTATCGTACCACTCACTGGAAATAGGCCATTAAACACCGCATTGGAATATATCTCATGTAAACACCGCTCCAAATCTTTTAATTGGAATAATTTTAATCAGAAAGACAAAAACGCGTACAAGTAAATGTGGTATTTCTCAAAATATCTTCCTTTGTATTTGCAAAAAGGAAAGACTATGTAGCTTTTCCTATGAACTTTCTCCCTGTCAGCAAGAATGTGATGGACTGAGGTTAACCTGCATTCTGCAGGTAATCTCGTATTGAATTTTAGTCATCAGTACAGTGAAGAAATCAGATTCGCATTAGGCTTTCCTCTGGCACATCAGCCCTGTTCACACAATCCTGAAGGTCACACCTGTATCATCTGTGTTGCTCCACAGCAAACTCTGGGTCCATCAATCTTTCCGGAATTAAAGCTCCAGAGGCCAAAGTGACATTTTGGTAATGCTTAATCACTCTGGCATTCTGGGAAGGACATCTAGGACAGAACTGCTCTGGTAAAGGTGGTGCAGGTGCTCCAGGAAAGACTGTTTATCAAGCACTTCTGCTACACAGTGGTGTATATAAAAAGGTCTCTTCTACATTTTAAACACCAGCCAAGACCTTCATTCAGAGACTCACCCCCCTGGATTGTTCCCAAGACCCCATATAGCATATTTTTATTCTTCAAAGATGAAAGACCTGATCAAATTCAGAAATTATACACATAATAAGCAGAATAAAAAAAAGAGAGACCAGTTTATTTTTCATTTAAGAAGTCACCAGCTGGGCAATAGCATGCTGTTCTGAAATTTCACATTTGGTTTACGCGATCCTCTGACCCAATTACCAGGAAATCTCCAATAGCGCCAAATGTATTTACAGAGTGCCATTCCAGCCCGTCTCAGAACAGTCAATCTCTGTTAGTTTTTCTCATCAGCTCAGAAGAGGAGGATGTGAATCCGTGTCAATAAAGCCAGCCTGCCATGCAACTTCAAACAGACATGTGTAAAGTTTACTGATGTGAAATGAATATGTTATGATGATTTCATGAGGTGACATATGAACTCCTTATGTGTAGCATCCAGGGCTGGGCGATTAATCAAAGGCAATATTCATGCACATTTTATTATAATTCCATATCTGTCATCAGTAGTACAGTAAACATAAGGCAGGTGCTTTCAGATGGAGCATAGTTTATATACAGAGTCCGTGTTGGGTAAGTTACTTTAAAAAAAAAGTAATAGATTACAAATTACTGAGTACAACTGGAAAATTGTAATCTGATTATATTACCAATTACTAGGCTCACACAAAATCTGCACGCGCAGAATTCTGCAGATTTTTAGCCCATCATTACTTTTGTCTATTTACTTGAGTAAATGTGTGTAAATCTATATTCAGTTTTTAAATTAATTACAGTAATATTATTGACTAATATGAAAATGTACATTTGATTTATGTACAATGCAGTTTGTACAGTAATATTTTTGTCTTTTAGTAGATATGTTACATAAGAGACTTGCTTTGTTTAACAGATAAAGTGAATCTATTTGGATTTGCATTTTAAACATTAAATAAAAGTTTAAACAATATTATTTTATTGCACATACTAAAGTTTTAGTTATGATACTCCCAAACAATTCCGCAGAAATTTGCAAATTTTTACCAGAATTCTCTGCAGAAATACCAAAAATTGTCCACAGATTCCATCTTGCCCTGCTAATTACTTCATGTAAAAAGTAATCTGAATACTTAATCAGATTACTTGTTAACTTATTCAGATTACTTATTACTTTAAAGTTACTTTCAAAACATATACAACATAAAAAGGCTAAACTGCAGCTCTTTCAGTAATTTAATAATCCCTGAAAAACATCACAATTGGTTGAACACAGTAGCTTGACATATTCAATAGAGTTTGGCTAAAACTTAAAAATCTTTTATCATTCATTTGTTGCAAACCTGTTTGTCTTTTTTTTATTGAACAAAAAAAGACATGAAGAAAACTGGATACCTGTAACCATTGACATCCATAGTATGCAGAAGCACTGCAGTTTTTGGGTGTTCTGAGTTTGTCTAATTACTAGTCTTCCGAAATGTGTATATTCTATACAAAGCATGAAGCTGATCGATCAGTTATTGTCAAGGGACTCACGGTTTTCAACTGGTGTGCCTGGAAAATGCGAGTCAAAGCAATAGGTGCTTTGAGTATTTGAGCAAGCTGCGCACCTCCACTGGAAATAACGAATGTTTGTGCCCAAAAGACACAATGTGAATGGTACCATAAGCAGCTACGCACATTCAGAAGATTCTACTTTACATTCAAAAGATTCCTTCACTCCAGCACAAAAAAATCAATTTAGCCTGTTTAAGCAGAGTTAAACTGCTGTGTTTTTAGGCATCGGTGTCCTCCTTGGTTATAGAATGCTTTCTATTGACGTGCTTGAACAAATTGCTGGTTGAGGTCAGTAGAAACTAGACATAAGACTGCATTTCACAGCAATATTTTAGTTTTTATGCTCAAAGTAATGTCTGTATTTCAATTTTGAAGAAGCAACCACTTCAGTCAGCAGCCATTTCAGCTTGAGTTCTCCAGAAAATGTAAGGGCGCAAGCTTATTAACTGACATCGCAGCGGAAAGCGTTATTTAAAACGTTACCCTTTTGGTGGGCGTGGTGTACTACCGAAAGTTTCAGTTGATGTCATTCTCGTTCAAGGAAATGTCAAAGTAAAGCTGTATGGGTCGTTTACATATTATATGAGGAGCACTTCTCACAAAACAGATGCTTTATACCCATAAATACTTTTGTATAAATGTTTATTACTAACTTTTCTATGAGCAAAAAAAGTCCAAATCTTATCATTGTAATTGACATAAATTTTACTGCGATTCGATATAATACCGCTTATCGTCCCAGGCCTACAAACACCTGACTTTGTCTCTGTTATCACAATTTTCAGTTCAATCACATATATCAAGCTCAACTATTTAACACTTCTACCCAAGTTTTAACATGTTTAATATATTTAATGCATTTTTATATTATTATCATTATTATTATTAGCTTCATACAAATAGATAATGGCAGACTCCTTAATTAAGATAAATTTGTAACCTTTGACCAATTCCACAAATTTGCTGTGACCAATTGTGGAGTATTTTTTTCCTACCCAGTAGTCATGTGAAATTTCAATACCTTGGATACCAGATCTTCATGCTTTAAGTTCGATTTCGCAAATAAAAACATAGATACATTACATTTTTTTACATTTATTAGACACGTGTATTTGCACAAAATATTGGATTGAAGTTGCCGATACCAGCTTGAATTTTACTCATTATCGAATCGTGAAGGCAATCTGTGGTATCAAGCATCAGTACTACCCAGTTTTGAAAACTGGTTAATGATTATTGCTAGTTAATTAGAATAAATTAATAAAATAAAATTACATATGAAATAACTGTTTCTTATGTATGGATTCTATGCAGGAGCATGGGCAAGACATCACAACTTACAGTTGCAAGGAGCAAAGTTTAGTAGACTAAATCATTGAGAAGTTCACTAACGTTAATCATCACCAGAAAACTGTTGTTTCACCGGAAGATCAAGTTATGACATAAATGAATGGTGATTTGTTTTTTCATTAAATGTTGACTTAAAGCAGTTCATATGAAAATCTGTGATCAACAGACCATGGCATTTTCTGAATACCTGCCTCTTTCCAAATAGTTTATAAAAAAAATACATATTTTAAAGATAAAAAAAATTAATATGTAAAATATGTTGTTTTTATATATTTTTCAAGATATAAAAACAAAATCTGCACAATTTCAATGTTATTCTTCATACAGTCATTATATATGTTAACTTTACATAGTTTATTTGATAAATGTACTGTAAAAGAGATAATAGGTCACGATGTGTCACGTGTAACGTTATTATTTAATTTCCAAAAACAGTTCGTCGATGCAATAATAATAATGTATTATTTTACAACAATTAAGACGATGCTAATTGAAATCACTGTTATTTGAATGAGATTTTTTTAATCCCATTACACCTAACGTTAGAGATCAGGAGTGCAGCGAGTAAATACAGCACTTTTGCCAGCATTGCGGTCACGTGCAGCTTTTTGGGTAAGAGATTTTTTGACAATTTTCAGCTGATTTTGAAGGGGTTGTAAAGCTCCCTAATATGTAGTCTAGTTAGACAGCGCTGTGGATTTCGAAACACAACCGGACTGTGAGCTCGCGTTTTCCCTTTCCAAACTTACGCCGTCCAAAAAATACTGCTCCAAACTAAAGTTTCTCTGCATTTTCAACTGTACCACGCTGACAGATGTTAACTCTAAATGTTCAAAACGAGGTTAGTTGCGTTCTTCAAAACCAATCGTCGTCGATTTTCTCACATCTGTAGTAAAAGCTGCTAGGAAAGCGAACTCACCCCATTCTCACAGAAGCAAATCAGAGGATTTTCAAGACTCCAGTTTTGTTTCCCAACTGATCCACGGAGAGCGAGTTGAGTCCAGTCCAGTCCAGTCCCGTGTCCTTTAAATGGCGATAACCACTTAACAATGGAAGTGTCAAAACAGTTGTCGTGCTTTGTTTGCTCCGTTATGGAGTGATTTTATAGAAAGGGAGCTCTCCTTTGTCTAGTGTCTTTGTTGACTCCCGATTTCTCGTCCTCATAGTCCTATTAGTTGCTCTCCAGCGGCCTCTCTATTTCCATACTGTTGAAAAGCAAGAAACAGCAGCGCGCCTCTGATGCAACGCGTCGAGTCCTCATGGTCAAATTTCTCAAGTAATCTGCACCCCTCAATACTACAGTGTTCCCTCACATTAACCTACCCGAGCTATCTGCTGCCCCCTGCTGGCCATGAGTTGCAGCTTGTCTATCTATCTATCTATCTATCTATCTATCTATCTATCTATCTATCTATCTATCTATCTATCTATCTATCTATCTATCTATCTATCTATCTATCTATCTATCTATCATTATTATTATTTATCATTATTATCATTAAAATAAACACATATTCCAATTTTGGTTCTTGCAACACATTTAAAATAGTTTGTACAGGAACAATTTATGGCTGATAACCAGGTATATTGGTTAAATAATGATGTGATTTGAATCAGGTGATGTCAACAGGTGATTGTAATTATGATTTGGTACAAAAGCAGCATCCACCAAAAGTAGGTCTTTAGGAGCAATGATGGGCTGAGGATCGCCAGTTTGCAGAAAAGTCCATGAGAGAAGTTATTGAAATATTTAAAAACAATGTTCCTCAAAGAAAGATAGAAACCCATTTGGATATTTCACCTGCAACAGTGCATACCATAAATAAAAGATACCTCAGGCGATCCCTCTGGTGGCACTGCATATTGAATTGTCAGTCATCTATAAGAGATATTGCCACATGGGATCATGAATACTTTGACAAGCCTTTGTCAGACACCACAATGTTACACCCACAAATGCCAGTGAAAACTTCACTGTGGCAAAAGGAAGCCTAATGTTAACAGTGTCTAGAAGCGCTATTGACTTCTCTGGACTCTGAGGCATCTGGGATGGACCATTGCACAGTGGAAACTAGTACTGTGGTAAGATGAATCAGTATTTCAGGTATTTTTCGGTATTTTAGGTTTCCAGCATCTGTCATGGGGTTGTGTAAGTGCCCCAAAGGTAACTCCTGTGACGGCTCTCCATTAACAGGCCTGCAGCCAGCTTGATGAAAAAGGTGGTTCTTTTTTTTCTCAAAAAGTGTACCTTTTTGCAGTTATACTTAATTTTATATTAAATTATGAGGTTCAAATACTGTATTTTAGTGACATTTGAAGCATTTTTGCTGGATTAGCTTGTCAGATTTTTGTCAAAATGCTTATCAATCCTATTTTACCTCAAAGTGTTTGTTTACAAATGTAAATATTTAATTTTAAATTAAATATTTTGAACAAAGAAATATGAAACAATACTTATTTTTAAAACACAAATTTATTGTCATCAAAATGAACTAATGAATGAAGGTTTTAGTTATGACACTCCCAATAGAATTCTGCATAAATTCACAGATTTTTAACAAAATTTTGCGCAGAAATAGCAAAAAATGTCCACATTCCGTCTGGCCCTACCTATAGGCAAATAACAAACCGACAAGCTCATTTCCTCAGTCAGAAATTGTCCAGTTGAATAATTAAATTAAATTGGTTTTAAAGCCTTCTTCTATCGGTTATTTTCACAACTTATGATGACACACAGTCAAAAAGGGACAAACAAACTCATATAGGGAGTCAATTCTGGACTTTGTCAGTAGGCAGGTGGGTCTTTCGAACCACCAAAACCCTGGCTATGGGCCTGATTATTGCTAAAAATGTACATCTAAATTTTAGTGCACAATATGCTGCATTCTTTTATACTTGCCTGGCCTGTTTGCAGTCCCGACCAGTTTCCAACAGAGAATGTGTGGTGCAATTTGAACTGGCACACATTAAGACTTGTTTGCTGGAAGAACGGGACAAAATTACACCTGAAACACTTCATCACTTAATGTTTTCAGTCTCTAAAAAAACAATAAAAATCACAAGGAACACATTAAATCAGGTTTGTTGCATTGTCTGCTATCTATCTATCTATCTATCTATCTATCTATCTATCTATCTATCTATCTATCTATCTATCTATACTTTTGCAATATTGCCAAGTCATAAACAGATTTACAATAACAGAGAGTGGTTACAGATGAAAATATACAGAACACAACAGCTGCAATAACACATAGGCTGGTGAAAATTATAGTTACCATGGTAACTCAAGAGCTTGTCACTACAAATGTAAAAACCCTTATGCTATCTCAATTTCATTTTCACTATCAAGTTTAATGATGTGTGTAATTTTTTTTTCCCTTTTTTTTTTCTTCTTCTTCTTCAGTGTACATACATAGTTTTTCTTTTACTTTTTTCACTGGGAAGGTAAAGATCTTAATTGGGATTCATTCCTGTGTATGCTGAAGAGTAATCTGACCACATGCAGTGTAAACAGTGTCAGCAGGAAGACAGTGAATCAAAGAGAAATACAAAAACAGCAGTAGTTTGGTGAAGCCAGAGGGCAGCAGCGTCTCACTTTGGCACCAACACCTAAAGTAAAGTCTCTTGATTAACTCATGTAAATCATTCAAATGAAATTATGTATAATGATACAATAATGTGAACATACAACATAAAAAATGAAACAATAAAGTGACATGCTCTACACATAATAATATAAATTTGTAATATTTGTGTATGTGGTTATTTTTAAGCTTTTAAGGAGTAGTTAAACAGGCATCTCATGTTGAAATATCATTATAAAAGCACCATTTTATGTGTCTTTTGTGTCTACTCAAACTTTGCATCAAATAAATTTGTTGTATTTTTGATAGAAAATACAGTAAAACATAATATTGTGAAATATTATATCACAATTTAAATAACTTTTAATTTTAAATGTAAAGGCAAAGCGGTTACTCATAATGTTCAGTCATGCTATGAAAATGACTGTAATGTGCTGCTTTATTGCATAAGAAACTTTTCTTGTTATTATCAAAAGTGGTGGGAAAAAAAAGTGTGACTTACAGTTTTTCTCAGCCTCTTCACATTTCTCAGATCAGAACTGAAATTCTCTGAAATATTTTTTAACCACCACATCTTGTAGTCATTTGAGAACTTCATGAAAGAAATTATGGACACATATGGTACATTCATGCAGTCTGCTGCTGTCTGATACATTATCAGTTGTTGATGTTTTATTTATATATATATATATATATATATATATATATATATATATATATATATATATATATATATATATATATATAAAATATAGCTAATTTAGCTATGTTGTTTTATAAACTGCCCATCCAAAAAAAGAAGAACTAAGCAAATACACTACCTGAAAAAAGTCTTGTCGCGTCCAAGTTTTAGGAACAACAAATAACAACTTGACTTCTAGTTGATCCTTTGGTATCAGAGGTGGCTAATATGAAAGGCAAACTCCTCTAGATTTTGCTTATTTTACCAAAATAAAATATGATACATCCAAACACAGCTCCAACGTCATCGTTTAATTTGCTGATAACACAACAGTGGTGAGTCTAATCACCAATAATGATGAGACGTCTACAGAGAGGAGGTGCACACTTTGATGCAATGGTGTCAGGAAAACCACCTTTCACTCAACATCAGCCAAACCAAGGAGGTGGTTGTGGATTTCAGGAGAGAGAAGAGAGAACACACCCTCATCGCCATTAACGGGACACCAGTGGAGAGAGTCAGCACTTTCAAGTTTCTTGGGAGTCCACATCGCTGAGGATCTAACATGGACTCCTCACACAGGCGCAGTGCTGAGGAAGGCACAACAACGCCTCTTCTTCCTCAGGCGTCTCAGGAAGTTTGGAATAAGCCCCACATCCACCGCTCGTTTAACACCTGCACTTTGGAGAGCATCCTGACTGGCTGTATCACCACCTGGTATGGAAACAGCACCCGCAGCAATCGCAAAGGCCTACATAGGATTGTGCGAGCTGCTGGACGCGTAGTAGGAGGTGAGCTTTCCTCCCTCTAGGACATCCACACCAGGCGGTGAATGAGGAAAGCCAAAGGAATCATTAGCGACTCCAGCCACCCAAGCCATAGACTTTTCTCTCTGCTACTCTCAGGCAGACGATTCTGCAGCATCCGGTCACACACCAGCCGACTGAAGGAAAGTTTCTTCTCTCAGACTATCAGGCTGATGAACACTTAACACACCTCACACAAACTCTTCCATACCTCTCACCGCACACCATCAGTATGTAGCATGCACTGCACTTTAACCATTTCATACTTTAAAACAATACAGCCTACAACTAGGTGTACACCTATTCATTGTACATACACGCGCTGCTGATAATGTGACAACAACAGTGATTTGATTTGATCATGCCTTGATTTTTAATTATTTAATTAGGACAGTAAGGTCTGACTTTGCTTAGACAAAAGTCTTGTCACTTAACAGAAATAATGAACAGTATATAAGTCATGGTGCCGTGGAAAAAGAGTTAATATGGTGTATGACTCCCTTGAGTTTAGAGGACTGCATCCATACATCTCTGCAATAACTCAAATAACTTAATAAAGTTATCTGGGATGGCAAAGAGAGCGTTTTTGCAGGACTCCAAGAGTTTATCAAGATTCTCTGGATACATCTTTAATGCCTCCTCTTTCATCTTACGCCAGACATGCTCAATAATGTTCATACCTGGTGACTGGGCTGGCCAATCCTGGAGCCCTTTGACCTTCTTTCCTTTCAGGAACATTGATGTGTGCTGAAGTAGGAGAAGGAGAGCTATCCTGCTGAAGAATTTGCAGTGTTGCTCAACCACGTTTCTGGAGGACCACCACCACTGCATGTTTTGGATGTCTCCTTTGTCTGTCACACCCATTACAGGTCTTTCAGTCTCGGTTAATAGGCTGATGATCTGAATCAGGTATGCCTGGTTAAAGAGACATGGCAAATATGCATTGCTGGTAATATCTAAGGAATGTGGTCGAGAAACACTACTCTATTGCAATGGTAGAACCAGTTCTCATAATCAGTCAAGCATTTTTTAAAAGATGTTTATTTAGAAGTTTTTTTTGTTTTGTTTTGTTTAAATAAATGTCTCTCAATTTGATAAATTGCACCAATGAGTCTTGAATATCTAATTAAGGGAATTGGAAAGTTTTAAATTGTGCAGTGATCAAATTGTTCTCTAAAATACCCCATACATACATCTCATGGACAGCCAGTTGGCAAAAATTTATTGACAGAGCGCACAATTATAATTATGAAGTGGTTTTCATCCACTGGTGGTGAATGAGGAGATTTCCCCCAATGTGTAAAGCACTTTGAGTGTCCAGAAATGTAAGGATTTATAAATATTCTAAAAAAAAAAAAAACAAGTTCAACAATATGGAAATTTCAGCATCATTATTAGACTTCAGTATCAAAAATCATTCTAATATGCTAATTTGCTGGAATGTTTTGATTGTTATTGGTGCTCAATCATTAATAAGAGTTATTAACATCATCAGTGATACAAATACTTTTTTACATAGTCAAATTACAGCATTTGTGCAATTTGAATTTTACATAAAAGTTTTTACTGTCAATTTAGATTACCAAATGAGTCCTATGAACTGAACTACTATTTTTTAATATTATCTGGAGGCAGCCTTTATGATGCAAGCTGAGATTGCATCACTCAGCGGTGCAAGCATTGGATGCAGCTCACATTGCACTGCACCAAGTCTGCATCCAGACCCCTCTCCTATTTTTTGTACTAAAACAAAAATGTGTTTAAAATATTGGTGATAATAAATGTTTCTTGATCATTATATCATCAAAATGGCTGATGAATTAAACTATCACAATATATATTAACATTGAAAACTGCTATTTAAATTTAAATACAATTTGACAATATTTATAATAGTAATTCTGCATTATTCCCTTTTCATTGTTTTCTTGTTTACATGAATGCAGAATTATTTTAAAAAGTCAATTTCTATTAATTGATTTATTTTATCTTTTTATCTCTTCATGATGACAGTACATTATATTTTACCAGATATTTTCCAAAACAGTTCTATACAGCTTAAAGTGACATTTAAAGGCTTAACTAGGTTAATTAGGTTAACTAGGCAGGTTAGGGTAATTAGGCGAGGTATGGTATAATGATGGTTTGCTCTGTAGATTATGGGAAAACAAATTATAGCTTAAAGAGACTAATAATTTTCCCCTTAGAATGTTTCTTAAAAAAATAAAAACTGCTTTTATTCCAGCCAAAATAAAACAAATACGACTTTCTCCAGAAGAAACCATATTACCAGACATACTGTGAAAGTTTCCTTGCTCTGTTAAAAATTATTTGGCAAATATTTAATAAAAAATTGAAAGAGGGGCTAATAAATATATCCCATACAGCCCAATGTGTACTGATTTCATCCACTTTTAGCAAAACTAAAGCCACAATGTACATAATGTAAATACTGACACTGATATTCTGACCACATCTGCATGTAAACTATGACACAAGGACCTGTCATGTTGATCACTCTGATATGTTCAGTGATAAATTCATTTGAGAAATCACCAACCCTCAGTGAGGATTTTGAGAAAGTTACAGGCTTGGAGTTTGTATGAATTGTTTCGAGAAATGCAATGCAATCAAGTGACAAAATCAAGTAATATTGATTTATTTTACAATTATTAAAAAGAACAGTGGTTATTTGAAATTCATTCATTTTCAATTCATTTCATAAATAACTTTACAACTTTACACAGACCAAAGTTCTGTACAATCAAATTAAGAAAAACACACAAGTGTAAACTTAAAAAACAAAACTAGCCCAACGTCTCAATGGCTTATATCAAAAATAACCTTTATCACTCATTTTAAACACATTTGATGGTGTTATTTAGCTAAAATCATGAGGCAAACTATTCCACAGCCTTGGACCCACAACCCCTCCACTTTAAACTTTCCATTACTTTGTGGAACAAGAAGTAATAATGTTTTTAATAAAATTTTAATAAATTTTAATAAAATTTTTAGTTGATCCTAAAAAACAAGATGCTTGGTGTGGAGCAGTAAGTTCTGACACATAAAAGCTATCGCATGCACTGCTTTAAAACCAAATAACAAAATAGAAATAAAAGAGAGAAGCCAAAACAAAAGAAATATGTTGACGTTTTCTTAGCATCCACCAGCAGCTAAGTATGATACAGTGGTTTTACAAGACCCCATAAACAGAACATGGCGAGACAAAAGGAAGGAATAAACAACCTTCTCTAAATATTTTCGTGACTACTGCAATACAGAAGGAAGGATTTAAAGAACCTTCTCTAAAAATTTCCTTGACTGTATTGATTATCTTGACAATTGCAATACAGAATGAAAGATTAAACAACCTTCTCTAAATATTTTTTTGACTGTATCAAGAAAATATTTAGAGAATCAAGCACCAAACCTAATTTGAAAGAAGCAACTCTAAACCACATCATTAATCTAAATGTTCAGATTTTCGTTGGTCATGGCACCCAGCTAACAGGAGTGATCTCAGAACACGCAGTAACATTACTCAAAGTTGTGTAAATGTTGGCACATGATGTTATTAACAATGTTTTTGGAACATTCTTGTAACATTTATAGAAAGAAAAAAAAGTTAAAAGATTCTTTGTCTTAGAACAATGTTATTTAATAATGTCTTTAGGGCAATAGTTGCTCTTTATAAATGTTCTCATAATTCAGATAGAAAAAAAGTTCATAGAACATTAATAAAATGTAAATGTAATCTTTTAATACCATTTTAATAACCTTCGGGGAACATTCTTATAACATGAGACTAAAATGATTGAATAACGTTATTACAATCTAAAATAGCATTAATGTTGTCTAAAAAACTGAATTTGTTTAACAATTAAAAAAGAACATCTAAAAACATTCAAAAATATGACCCAAAGAGAACTGTAAGGGGACTATTTGAATTGTAAGCAGAGCTGTAGTCTAACCATGTGTTTAAATATGTGGCAATATTTAAAGAACCTCTTTTAAGGTCAAACATAAATTTTTACTTTGGTTTAATTGGATCAAGTAATGAGACATCCAACTCTTACCCTCCTCCAGGCATGCTAAAGGTTAAAAGGAACCACTGTATTCTCATAACCTCAGAGGGAGATACATTTGATATTTGATATTTATTCATTGGGATAAACCCCTTGAGACATTTGTGTGTCATTAGCAGATAAATGTAAAGACAAAATAAAACATTTAACCCAGACGTATCATATACAAAAAAAAAAAAAAAGACGGCAAAAACAAAATCCTGAGGAACACCACAAATGATAGATGAAGATGAACAAAAAAAATGGCATATTTCACTGAGAATGTCCATCCTTTGTTTTCCAACCAACTTATAGATAACTGCTTAATAAGAATCCCATGGTCTACTGCAAAGGCTGCACTCAAGTCCAATAAGAGCTGAGACATTACCAGCATATCTGATTAAGTAAAGTCATTAACAACTCTCAAAAGTGCATATTTATCTAATATATTATGTTTATTTAAAAATGAAATCAGCTGTAAATAAACCACCTCTAAAACATTTGATAGGCATAGCAACTTTTTATTGGAAAGGTATTGATTTTTTTATTTCAAAAGTATATAGGTTAGGCTTTTAAAAGGTGCTATATGTAGGTTTTTGACTCTTCTATAGCATACAAATAACATAATATGTTTGCAGATATTTAAGCAACATGCTAAGTGAATATTCCTCTAATCTAAAGTCAGATATTCTGTTTGGAAAATGTGCGTTCCATGCTGAAAAGGCTGTCTTTGTTTGGGTCATATTAATTTTCTAAGGCACAGTAATCAAAATAGATAATTTGGCTTGGTAAGTCTTCATGCTTTGTCTTTTCAAACTAATTCTTCTTAATTATAGTCTTCTGCAGGCATTAATTAGGATAAAAAAAATTTAGGCAGATTTTAATTTCAAGGGATTAACCCACCCAATGCCACTTTAGCCAATTATATTTCAGCAACCCAGGTTGCCTTGGCGGAAAACCACGTAGTTCATTCAGTCAGTCAGGAAGGCTCTCAAAGTGCGCGTTCCTGACTAAAATGCCACCTCTTGTGGAAAGTAGCAGACTCCGAAATGAGATGCAGATTCAGAGTTCCACATGAAGTGGTTTTTAATTCGTCACCTTGGAATTATAAGGTATTCCAAATGAATTTAAGATATTGAGCTTCAAAGTTTGTTGCATTCCATATAGCAAACAGTATGTGTGTAACATTTGTTTTAATTAAGAAGTCTTAAAATGTAAACAACTTGTAAAAAAAAACATCCCATAATGTAAATAAGTTGTCATTTAATAAGAATATGTCAATAACTCAATTTTGACAAAACTGTCAGATAGAACCTTATAATTCTAAGGTGACGAATTAGCAAATAACATAAATATTGTGAACATTAACAGGTGAGCAGGTTACATCTTAACCTTGTGTCCTAACGACACAAACCATGAAAAGATTTGCAGTGATAAGCGGCTGTTTGCACCAGACGAAACAACAGAAATTTAAATACAGTCATTAAGAAGCAACAGAATAGAATAGTGCACTTACTGCACTCCAACAAAATGGAAAGCTTTATAATCTAATTAAAACATATTAAACCCCATTCATTCATTTTCGTGTCGGCTTAGTCCCTTTATGAATCTGGGGTCACCACAGCGGAATTACCCGCCAACTTATCCAGCAATGTTTTTACCACATTAAACCTCTTTAACATTATTAAATGTACATGCTGAATCACTGATACCTGTTGGTTTACATTATTTCACAGTTTTTAAGTTCCATTTCAAATAGTTTATTTTATTTTCAAGGTGAACTATCTGCTGCTGCTTTCAGTATATATTAATACCTGTAATATAAAATGGCATTCAAACTCACAATATTAGCATTTAACACTGAATAAAGCACATAAGGTGTACCTGAGGTGATAACTGTCATAGTTTTCTGTTGTTTTCAGTTGTTTAAAGTGTTGGTTAGGACAAAAGCTCCTTTTAATATGGAACATTTTCTTTCTATCGTGTGCCTTTGCTTTTAGTTACAACATGGTTGAAATTAGCCTTTAGGCTCGAATGTCAGTCACTGCTGTAAATTGTCAATCTGGCAACCTGTGCTTGCATGTGTTTTGAACTAGGTGTGTAATATCTAGTTCATCCACTGGGTGTAAAACTTACATACTGCACCTTTAAATAGTTCATCCAAAATTTAAAATTTCATAACTATTTACTCTCTGTCATACAGTTTAAACCTTATTGAGTTTCATTCTTCCGTTCAACACAAAAGAAGATATTTTGAAGAATGTTGGTTGCCATCGACTTCCTAAGAAATACATAATAGTAATATCTCAATAGATGCCAATTAGATATTTTATTTTGTGTTCAACACATAATAAAAGGAACACAAATAGGTTTTGAACAAGTGAAAAGTAAGTCAATGATGACAAATTCTTTGAACCATCTCTTTAAAAAACAGAAATCCATTGCAATTTAAAGGTCTCCACCTTCAGAAATGTAATCACTATGATAAGTGAAACTATACATTTCCAAACTTCTAAAGAGTACCTAGCTGTTATTTGCACAATAACTGTAACACTATTACTAAAAACATCAATAAGCTGTAGGCTTTTATACTTAGACAGAATGAGAATTTGACGTCACTGACCACAACAAAGCGTTAAAGTGGAGGTGTGTTTGTGACCTCAGTAACTGCTGAGAATCATTCGCTGTTCTCAGAACTGGGTTTTTTCCAGTCATATCTCTCAGGTGCACTTTAAGGGCACAAACAAATGAAGATAAAAGCTAAATAAACCATAACTACAGTGGCTGCACAGTAGCTGTAGACACGCACACAGCAGACTGAGGAGGTTTGTTTCAGGTTGATCGTTATCAGTACTCATTACACACAAAGCCAGACGGTTTTTGTCATGACTATAGTGACGTTTTGTCACACTCCTGAACTTTAGTTTCAAAGAACAGGCCATTTCTGTATGTGGACTCTGTGTCATTCTCTTTTATAGGACTATCTGTTAAGTGGAAATTCTCTGGCAGCTGTAGCGTCTTTCCTCTGTAACTGGGATTTGGATAGAAACAGGATTTCATAAAGCTTAAGTCAGTAACTTCACCCTCCTCACCTTCCTCCTCTTCCTCTTCAAAAACGACAAGCCCAAAGTTTTGCAGTATAGTGCTCTGTCCGGGAGCCACATTCTCTGTGGATTTGTTGAGTTCTTGACGCAGCAGGAGAACAAATTCATGCACCTCTTCTGTAATCTGGCTCAGGTCCTGCTACACAAACATTTTTCATTTGGAATGCAGCTATACAGTCAATTTAATTACAAAATATACAGTGGACCATAAATTCAAAACCATTTACCATAAATTCAAGTTTCATAATAACAGAGTAGCAGCAGATTTTTTAAAAGAATATTTCTCAAGATACATATATTCTGTAGCAGAGTATAAAATTTTACGTCCATGATTTAGACATCTGATACAAATTTTGGACATTGTAATGGTTCATATAATGGTAAGCCTGGCTCACACTGTGATTTTTAATAACCTTTTTTGTTTGTAGCTTGTCAGATTTGAATATAATCATCATGTCAAATTGTAAGATCTCAGTTGTCATAAAGTCATACTGGGGTGTGTTTCCCAAACAACGACGTAACTCGTGGCTGAACTATCATAGTTCGATGCATTGTTTGGGAAAAGAACGATGTAGTGACGAATGTTTCCCAAAACTGTAGTTTCTCAGTCGCAGATGTCAGCATGTCGCAGAAGTGCAACATGCTGTTTAAATAGCAAATGCATAGGCTTTCTGGTCTATAAAGGAAGGCGTTCTGAGGTGCATTGCTGGCACGTTGCTATTTTGAGAAACTATAATAGATTTTTCAATAGATCAGAACAAAGCCAGTCTATTGTCTGGTGCAGAGCGCGTTAGTTGTGCCCCTCGCTCACACAATGCTTAATACATACAAGATGTAGAGCAATACACAAATATCTTTACATTTGAAAAAGAATAAAAATATTAAGGATATAATAAGAATACAAAAAGGATATAAATATAAAGGATTAAAATATTAAAAAACATTATTTTCTAGCCTACATAAATATAAAAACCATACTTTCATGCCTTCTTCATCTTGGGGGCTTTTTCAGTTTATTTGTAAAAATTTGCTTTTGTATAATGTTATTATTTTTAGCAGTATTATTTATTATATGCATATTTATATTTGTTTTATTAAAAACAAGCTTCGAATTGCCCACCTGTCAGGTTTCAGACCACATGGGGCACAGCATGTGTATTTGGATATAACTTTTTGAACACACTTCGTTATTTTTGTTCATTTATTCATTTGCTGGAAATTAGAACTGAATTTAGAAATAGTTTTGAAACAAATATTTGCACATAATAAACAAATTTAATTGTTTATAGGCATATTGATGTCTGTGCGTACAAGGTTTCCCTATCCATGAGAGTGAAAGTGAAAGTAGATAATGAGATGCCTTATCTCTCATTCTCGCGCTGCAGATGCTCTGTTTAACTGTTTTCTTTCTAGTGAGACGCTCAGTTTTTCCACTTACAAAGTCGTCATGTAAATAGCAAATGCGCTATTGTGCGACGCAACTGGCTCTTAAAGGGAATGGGAGATGAGACTCTGATTGGTTTAAAAAGCAAATTACACCTAAGAGAGATTACTTTAATGTGTTCCGAGTTTAAATGTTAGAATGTTCTAAACTACCAGGGCATGGGGGATAACTAGGAATAGGACAAAACCAGGAACTACAGTTGAAGTCAGAATTATTAGCCCTCTGATTTTTTTTTTCTTCTTTTTAAAATATTTTCCAAATTTTGTTTAACAGAGCAAGGGAATTTTCACAGTATGACTGATATTTGTTTTATTTCAGCATAGAATAAAAGCAGTTTTAAATTTTTTAAACATTTTAGGGACAAAATATTTAGCCCTGTTAGGCTATATTTTTGTCTCAATAGTCTACAGAACAAACCATCATTATACAATAACTTGCCTAATTATCCTAACCTGCCTAGTTAACCTAATTAACCTAGTTAAGCCTTTAAATGTCAGCTTTATAGAAGTGTCTTGAAAATATCTAGCCAAATATTATTTACTGTCATCATAGCAAAGATAAAATAAATCAGTTATTAAATCTATTATGTTTAGAAATGTGTTGAAAAAAATCTTCTCTACATGAAAAAGAAATTGGGGAAAAAATAAACAAGCGGTCTAATAATTCAGGGGGGCTAATAATTCTGACTTCAAATGTATGTTTCTAACTACACGTCGAGAGGTGTAGTCGTAAGTAGGGATGCACGATATATCGGCCGATAAATGCTATTTTTATGATTATCGTTATCAATCCCATGTCTAAATTAGGTCGATATCTTTGAGCCGAAAATTACGTAATTGTACAGACCTGCCTGCAGCGCACGCGTGGGCGGAACTTGTTCAGACTCTAATGGAGCTTTCCTCACACTGTTTATTCCTTTAAAGTCTGTCATTTCTTTATGTGGTATTGCTGTGCGTTAATATCTCAGTAAGTTACCATGTTCCTTATCATTGTAGATGTGTTTGATTGAGTGTCATTGTGTATTTTGCTTTAAATCGCCTCAGGAAAAATATTACATGTGTAAAGTTAGAGATAGCAAGGGAGATTCACTTATTACTCCGGGGCCGAATAATGTTAGTTTCGGGGGTAAACTGCCTTCTCTTTTAGTTGCAGCCGGTGAATGAACGAGGACACATGTAACTTGGTCTAAAATATTTATTACTTTCTGTGTGGTACAACAAATCAGTCACTGAAAATAGTTCATTAGTAATGGTCCCTCATCCATCTGGATTGAAAAGTTATGAGGTTAAGCTGAAGATGATGATCTTTCATCCAGTGTGAAATGTCTGACAGGCAGGCTGAGATGCGAGCCGGGACAGAGGGATCATCAGGGTGAAAAGAGAGGTATAGTTGGGTATCATCAGCAAAGCAGTGGTAGGAAAATCCATGTTTCTGTATGCCTGATTCTAAAGATGTTGTGCAGATGGAGAAGAGAAGTGGCCCAAGAACAGAGCCTTGAGGTACCCCAGTGTTTAGATGCTATAGGTTGGACACCTCTCCCCTCCAAGACACCCTGAATGACCTGTCAGAGAGGTAAGATCTGAACCACTGAATAACTGTGTCTGCAACGCCTAGTGACTCAAGTGTAGATAGCAGGATCTGGTGGTTTACCGTGTCAAAATCAGCTGACAAATCCAGCAAGATGAGGACTGATGATTTAGAGTCTGCTATGGCCAGTCTGAGATCCTCCAGGACAGAGAGCACGGCAGTCTCAGTTGAGTGGCCTTTCTTAAAGCCAGATTGCTTGTTGTCCATGAGGTTGATTTGAGTAAGAAAGTCCAGGATTTGATTGAACATGACTTTCTCCAGAATCTTGGCGATGAATGGAAGCCGTGACACCGGTCTGTAGTTTTCAAGTAGCGTTTGATCCAGGTTGGGTTTCTTTAGCAGAATGTGTAGCTATGGGGGTAATAAGATCTGCCTTGTTAACAGCAGATTGACAATTCCAGAGGCCCACAGAGAGAGAAAATTGTGAAATAGCAGATACTTGTATTGAACGAAGGTTGTGAGGATTACGCATAGTGTACCTCACGTGCTTTGCAAGTGTTAGTAACAACAGGAATTAGTAAACACATGATAAAAGTGCAATGTAAACAAAAATAAGTGCAAAGATAAAGTAAAATACATTGAAAAATACATTAAATGCAGTAAAAAAAATGAAAAATGCAGTAAAATGCATTGTCGGTTAATTTGCTTGGCGGAGTCGCGCAGGTAGAGTCGATGGCGAAGGTAGAGTCGATGGTCTTTACACATGTTGGTCTTAGTCGCGCAGGTAGAGTCGATGGAGAAGGTAGAGTCGATGTTCTTTACACTCGTCGGTCTTCACACGAGGCTGCCGCGACTGCTGCCGCGGTGAGACTAGCTGCTTGTATACACCCAAGAGCACTTGCTGATTGAATTCAGCTGGGCACGCCTTGAGTGTAAAAACACCCGAAACTGTGGGGCGCGAAACCGTCTGTGAGCGACACACAAGCTCTTACAGTAACCAAGGAAGCAGTGAGCAAACTTTCTAGATGCACACACAGACACTGAAAACAAGTTTAAGTGTCCTAGAACCACACACAAACACTGAAAACAAGTCTAAATGTCTTCGGGGGGCACAAAACCGTCACAAACAGCAGAAAACAGTTTGAAAACAGCTAGAACCATCCACAAGCAGCTGAAAAACAAGTCAAAATGTCCTCGGGGGGTGCAAAGCCGTCACAAACAGTTGATAAACAGCTAGAATACAGCTAGAACCATACACAGACACTGAAAACAAGTCTAAATGTACTTACACACGACTGGTCTCGTTGCTAAAATGCTTCTCCGTATTAACAGTATTCATACTAGGCTATCAGAACCGTGCCCGGACACGTTTGACCCCCAGTACGCTTGTAGTGTGAGTGCAAAGCGTGCCTTAGCAAGAAGTGTGGTTTATTTATTAACTAATTTCGAGAGAATCACATGCTTATGATTAAACACTGGTACCGCATTAGCCCGTTATATTTGCACCAATCAGATGAATACTGTCACACTTTAATTACCAGAGCTTTCTACTCCAGTCATCTTCATGTTGAAGAATCCCCCTTCCACCCCTTCTCCTCCCCTTCTCTGATAGGGCGGCATGGCGGCCCAGTGGGTAGCACTGTTGCCTCACAGCAAGAACGCTGCTGGTTCGGCCCTCTCCGAGCCGGTCAGCATTTCTGTGTAGAATTTGCATGTTCTCCTTATCTTGGCGCGGGTTTTCCTCACGTTTTTGGGTTTCCTCCCACTATCCAAAGACATACACTTTAAGTAAATTGACTAACTGAGTTCAAACTCTCCTCTCGCCCTTCAAACAGGACGGAACCCCGGGCTCAAGGATATTCTGAGCTCAGGGCTCTCTCCCAGGACAGCATGCCAAATACGCTTTATAATTAATCATCAGCTAAGTGTGAACACTTGAAACTGAAGAATTTTTAAGGGACAGTTTCCTATGCATTAATAAATCATTTCTACTTTTCAATGAACACAAACGTAGTTTATTAAAGATACAAACCTGCACATCAGCTGCACTTTCAGCAAACCTCCTAATACGTGCAGCATGATGACTTTCATAAACATTTATGAGCAGTGGATCTGTTAAGCAAAAGATTTGACTGTGTGTCCTCATATCGCAAACCACTTAAAATAATACAAAACAATATAACTAGCAATTTCCACTGAACGGATCTAGAGCAATTCTCTTCTGTTAAACGAAACAGTTGCATCATCAATGATGTAAGCATGCTCAGGCAAAAATTCAATGTGAGTGCGGACCGAGGGGAGGGGGGACAATCACGCCTTCGAGACAAACCCTGCCTAGTGTGAGTACACCCTAAAATATCTTCTTTTGTGTTCAGCAGAAGACATAAAGGTTTGATATTTTTATTTTTGTGTTAACGGTTTCTTTAAGGCACTCACTAGAGTCAATGAACTATGAAAGAGGCTGGATAAGAATGGAAAAGGACCACAGCACAGTGTCATTCACTGCATGTAAATTTTCTACTAGCAGTTTTTGCTGAAGTGCCTTGGTTATTTGGTATAACAGTCATTCACTAGACTGGTACAGCCGCAAGGTTTAAAAATAAAAGATTTTATCATTTCAGAAAAAAATTTAAATCTCAAGTTTTTATCTCCAGTGTACCTCCAGCTTTTAGTTTATTTCACTTTCTTTAGTAGTACAACTGTGTCATTTGTGTAAATCAATGAAATTCTGTGAAATGATTTTGCATCGTTTTCCTCTTTCTGTTAACTACTTAAAGTTCCATCACTGCAAATGCGCTGATGTGACATGTTGTGGGTGGCATTTTGACCACACACTGGCACATTTTCTTTCTGCTTAATTTGGGTCATTTTAATGTGCAGCGTAAGCAGTTTTGCCTTTTTAAACCCTTTTGTTTTTTATGTTGGAAATAGGTTTGAATTCTTTAGATGTTTGTGTGGCTAACCTGATCTTGTGGATATATGAATTCTGCCGCATCAACCACAGGACTCGGTACAACAGGACACAGTTTACGCTTAAATCTGCAAAGCAAAGAAACAGCTATGAAATTTAACAGATAAATACCTTACTCTTTAGCTGATGATGCAATTCTATGTATACATGTAAGGAATAATTGATGAGAGATAATTGAATTCAATAGACTAGGGTCAATTATTCCACTAATACTATGGTTGTCCTTAGCTATTAATAATTTAATAATAATTATAATAATAATTTAATAAACATAACTTTTAGATTAGAAATGGTTGTTAGAACCAATGAAAACAGACCAATTTTATTTGTTTAATTATTGAGAAAGAAAGAGATTAATAGCAGCAGTGTCTCTATTAATAGTTTAAAACTTTCTGCACCATATCACCTCATTAGTAAGAAATCACATGTAGATTTTAAATGTTTTATTGATAAAATCACTTTTATTGATAAAATATTTTCTGGATTTAAGTAGAAAAATAGCAAACAAGTTTTTGAAAACATTTTGAAAATAAAATAAAATTAGTAAAAATTGCAAATATAGGATAAAAGTTGTAGTATTTTGTCAATAACGTCAAAATTATGTGAATGCAGGTGTCATACATTGACAATAATATCAAAAGTATGGGCAGCATTAAAGTTCATCACCAGAATCAGAATCAATCATTAACCATTTTGATTAAACTCAAAATGTTCACACGACGTATTTACGCATGAATACATCAAGCTATTTGTGAGTAAATAGACATGCAAACATTTTGAGTTTATTCACTTCATTTGACCATCAAATTCGCTTCATTTGCACATTATGATACAATTATTATATTTTGAGAATAAAGTACAAATTACAAAAATTCATAGTAATGCTTATTAAAGAATGATACATGTAATTTGTGTTTGTAGTTGCAGCCTATACAGATTTCATGATACCTTTAAAAAATAATAATAATCTTGTGTTTTGCTGTTAAAATACATCAAAAACATGCAAAATATTTCTGTTTTTGATCTCAAGAACCAATGGACCTGCAAATCCTGAAGGGACTGATTTATATTACAAGAATATGTTATAAGAATAAGAATAAGTTATGAAATTTAGAGAAAACAGTTAAAAAGTTACAAGACAAAAGTCATACTGTATGGCAACGTGTGATTCACATTGTAATATTTTGAGAATGAACTTAGATCAGTTGTGCTTCCTGGCAATTAAGCCTGCAACCTTGAATTAGTCATCTCTATGTGGTCTGCCAATCAAGCTACAGTTCATACACAGTAAAGCACATTGGCCGTCATTCAGTTCATCTGGGTTACAGTAATCTCACCTCCTGGCAGCAAAAGAGCAGATGAATGTACACAAGAAGGCAACCACGCAGACACTCAGGATGGTCTGGTCCTGCCATGATAAGCCTGAATGAAAAGGGCAGAACATTAGCTGTTGGCAGGTACATTCTCTTTGTGTTTTTCCACTGTTCATTTAAATCTTTCAGTTCTGCCTCAACATTTTCTCCTTTTCTAATGACTGTGTTTCGGTACCTTTTTCTTTTGAGTGTGTTTCAGTGTTGACCGTGGTGTTTGGCCCTTTGCCAGCAATTGTTTTTCCAGCTATAGAAATGGTGTAAGAGGTCCCTGGGTGGAGATTCTTGATCAGGAAGCTGGTTTTATCTGCTGGGACTTTATGGAGTTCTGAAGGAAGAGGAACAGAAAGACTTCTATTATTTATTTGTTTCATTTTTTAACAGTGAAGCACAACTACACTGCACAAAATAACTATAAACTGGAAGTTTCAGTATTTTGTGATTCATGTTTTATTTATATATATATCTATGCATTTGAATTGCATTATAGAACCCTGATCTTTCTTCCAACGACTTTTGACCTTGAAAAGTTTGAAAAAGTGATTTTTTTTTTTTTTTACATTTTAATAGTTTAAAGTGATATATTGTCTGGGTTGGTGTTGTATATTATGGTACAATAACCTTGTAATAAACTGCCAGTACATGTTCTGTTTTTATACAGACTTATTTCACTATATATTGTTTCTTATACATTACAGTCTATTATATCAGAGTACTAAAATGTCAATAAATGTCACTTTGTGAAACTGAAGAGTTTAATTTTCAACATCAAAAGGTCACAGAGCAGAGATCAACATCCTATAATGAGCTCCAAGGAGCTCATTGTGGACATCAGGAAGGGACGAACAGGCTCACATGATCTCATTCACATCAATGGGATGGCCGTTGAGTCTGTCTCATCCTCAAGTTCAAAAGCCCACATCTCAAATGACATGTCCTAGCCTGGTCAAGAAGGCTCACCAGCTCCTCTTTTATTTAAGGCAACTTAAGAAGAACCCGCTGTCATCAGCCATCTTGGTGAACTTCTATCGTTGAGCAATAGACAGTATCATGACTAACTGCGTCACAGTCACAAGTATGGAAGCTGCTCTGTTGCTGTGCATAAGGCACTGCACCAAAACTGCCCAACACATCACAGGGACCCCACTTCCAGCCATTGAGCACATCCAGAAGAAACACTGTCAGTGCCGAGCACGCAGTATTCTTAAGGATTACTCACAGACTGTTCTCTATCCTGTCTTGTGGCAGGTGCTTTAGGCTTCCCTGGACAAAAACCGGCCATTCAAGGACTGGCTATCCAGAGATATGTAAGCATTTGTGTGTGTGTGTGTGTGTGTGTGTGTGTGTGTGTGTGTGTGTGTGTGTGTGTGTGTGTGTGTGTGTGTGTGTGTGTGTGTGTGTGTGTGTGTGTGTGTGTGTGTGTGTGTGTGTGTGTTTACACACACTTGAAGTCAGGATTATTATCCCCCCTTTGATTTTTTTTTTCTTTTTTAAATATTTCTCAAATGATGTTTAAAAGAGCAAGAAAATTTGTTATTATTAACAATTTCTTAATATCTTATTTGTTTTATTTCAGCTTGAATAAAAGCAGTTTTAAATTTTTGTATGAACCATTTTAGGGGTCAAAATTATTAGCCTCTTTAAGCTATATATATATATATATATATATATATATATATATATATATATATATATATATATATATATATATATATATATATATATATATATTTTTTTTTTTTTTTTTTTTTTTTTAAGATTTTTTTCTTACTTGCCTAATTAACCTAACCTGCCTAGTTAACCTAATTAATCTAGTTAAGCCTTCAAATGTCACTTTAAGCTGTATGGCAAAGATAAAATTAATCAGTTATTAGAAATTAGTTATTAAAACTATTATGTTTAGAAATGTATTAAAAAGATCTTCTCTCCGTTAAACAGATATTGGGGAAAAAATTATACCGGGGGGGCTGATAATTCAGGGTGCTAATAATTATTTATATATATATATATATATATATATATATATATATATATATATATATATATATATATATATAAAAATTGGAGTTTTCCCGGTGGCCAGTATGTGAATTTTTTTTTATTATTCATTCATTCATTCATTCATTTTCTTGTCGACTTAGTCCCTTTATTAATCCGGGGTCGCCACAGCGGAATGAACCGCCAACTTATCCAGCAAGCTTTTACGCAGCGGATACCCTTTCAGCCGCAACTCGTTTGTGAATGAATCCCAATTATGAATGACTCGTTCATATAGCCGACAATAATAGAAGTTTCTGGCACCGCAGCATCTTGTTGTCATATTTAATTCACATTGTTTGCTTATTTTATTCAATAAAACTAGCATTAGCGAGTTGGTGCTTGTTCAGCACAAAAGTTTATAACATATAAAAATGTATAAAACAAAATCTGACCTATGAAATGTTCTGCCTTTGTGCTTTGTTTTCTTCGTTTGCTACACCCGTACACAGCGCTAAAGTCTAGCATCTTCACATTGGCTTTAGTCTTGACTAGCGCTGTTGAATGAGATGGGAGCACAGTACAAATGTGGCGGTGCTATTGACGCATGCTCATGGTCTGTATGTGATATCTAGTGTATATTTCTATGGTACTTTAAAATACTACAATTTCAAATGAAAAACTGTATTATATCTAGCACGTTTTTAGTTGTGTAGCAAGCAAAATTTGTCATAATGTGCAATATTTCATGCATGCAAGGATCACTGGTTTCACTCTCTCAAATCTTTGTCCTAAAGCAACTACTGTATGCTTAGTGGTTGGCCAGTGGCGTGCAGGAATTACACTTACTACCAAGCCTTACTTACATGCTATTTCAGACCGAATATTTAAAGTAACATGGTAAACAAAGTACTGTAGGGAGGTTGTCAACAGGTTGTCATTGTCTACAGGTTGTCATTGTTCAAAAATGTTTTATATCCACCAATGTGGATGTAAAATTAACTTCACCCAAGTAAAGCAGGGTGGAATAGCGCTATTTACTTATGTTTTGTGGTTAAACTATTAAAAATCTACATTATCAATGCTGTAAAAGGTCCCTTATGAAATTGAAAATAGTCACAGCAATCTTTCGCCAGAGGATTTCAGTGGCTGAACAACGCTTTGTTGCATATAACCCATTCGTAAAACAACAAAATCTACATCAGCTTTGCATGACTAAAATAGTTTTAAAACATAACATTAAGTGTCTGAAAGAAATAGGTGCAAACAGTGGATCTGTGTGAGCGAGGTGTGCAGATGTACAAATCTACATTTGCTGACAGACAAGGCTTCTTATCAGGATTATAGGAATTATCAGCCTGACAAATTTTAATTGAACAAACATTTTTTTTTTGTCTCATGCCTTACCCAGAATATAAAAATACATATAAATACATTTAGATCATTTGCTTTAATCATTATTATTAGAATATGAAGAGACTTTCAACCATCACAACAAAAAATGTTTCTGAAGACAATCACCTACTGCACCTTTAATGCATTAACTAACCCGAACAAACAATGAACAACATATTTATTACAATATTTGTTCAAGTTAGTTAGTGTTTGTTAATAAAGATACAGTTCATTGTTAGTTCATGTTAACTCAGTCCATTAACTAATGTTAGCAAGCATGAGTTTGAATGTTAACAATGCATTAGTAAAGGTTGAACTATGATTAATAAATGCTGTACAACTATTGTTCATACGATATTTAGTTTATGTTAGTAAACACATTAACATAAACTAATGTGATTAATCGTTGGACAGTTGTGGGTTTTACGTCGGCCTACACTGTCAAATAGAACTGAATATTTTTCCAGATTTTGTGATTCATACAATTTCCCCCTATTTATTTATGCTTTGAAATTGCTTTATGAGACCTTGCTCCTTCCTACAGCAAGCTTTAATGTTGTAAAGTTTGAAAAAGTGACTTTCATTGACATTTTGAATCTTTTGAAATGGTACATAGTCTGGGTTGGTGTTGAAAATAGTGATATATAAATAAACCATTACTTTTTCTGTTATTTTACTGACTTTTTACTGACTATTTCTTACACAATATTGTGTTTCAAACTACTAAAATGTCAAATAAAGTCAAATAAAGTAAAACTTTAAACTTCACAACCACAACTGCCATTTTTCTTTTACCATGAATTTTGCTCCACCTGAAGTAAAAAAAAAAAAATAATAAAAATAATAATAATGTCAGACTCCATTCAAGAAAGAATAGCACATATGGAAACATAAACATCACATCCTTTTGAAAATCTTAAAGCTTTCAAAGTCAAGGAAATGTCTTTTTTTAAAGTTTGGTTATAATCTTGCCAGTAAAAAAGAGTGGTTAATCCATAAAAATTCTTACAAACAGGCTCATAAAAATGAATGGTCAGTATAAACTTTGGCTTTACTTGTTTTTCCATGTCCAGATATCCAGATGATATAATGCTTTAGAAATCCTCGCTGCTCAGCCATAGGAATGTGACGCCAGTTCAGCACCACTGATTCATGCGTCAAATCAGTAGTATTAACACCGCCTGGACCTTTAATAGGTGCTGAAACAAATGCAGACAGGATATTGAAAATACGAAAAACATACAAAATTTGCTATTAACAAAGCATTAACTATGAACTGTAAACCTCTAATTTGCTGCTTATTTATAGTTAGTCTGTAGTAGTTGAGTTTGGGTTAGGGATATAGAAAAAGATCATGCAGAATATGTATTTTATAAGTAAAAATAAACAGCCAATATCTTAGTAATTGGCAAGTAAAAAGCCACTAGTTAATACTGAGAATTGGTACTTTAAAAAGTGTTACCAATTTAAAAGTGTTACAAAATTTAAAATAACTCTATATGCTGTTCTTTTATTGTGCTTCAAATTTTTAAAGGGCACCTATGTTGAAAATGTTGAAAATGTTGCAGTTCTGTTTGGACAAAACTGCATGTAGGTATAGTGGGTCTACAGTCATATTGGAGTGATATAAACACAAGACGTCTCTTATTTTAATAAAAACATTTCCTGACGTTATAATAGGATCCAAATCTCTCCCATTTTAAGGCCCAATGCAACGTGATTGACAGCCACTTATTAATATGTCTCCACAGTAACCATATAATTATATCAACAAGGCACAACATGTGCAAAGCAACTGAGATTAAAAGATTTGTTCAGCTCGCTGTGATCATCAATCATCATTAAATTTGATCAAGAAAGAGTTTTACAAGTTTAAAACGTTTTTAAAACAGTGCATGTTTGTATTATTGTATTGTATTATTATTATTATTATTATACACTTTTTTATGTTACAGACTTATTTCAAAATCAAATAAAATTATTTATTTCCTCAAAATTATACACATAAAACCCCATAATAACAATGTGAAAAATAGTTTTTTTTTAATTGTTGCAAATTTATAAAAAACTAAAAAATCACATGTACATGAGTATTCACAGCCTTTGCTCAATACTTTGTTGATGCACCTTTGGTAGCAATTACAGCCTCAAGTCTTTTTGAATTTAATGCCACAAGCTTGGCACACCTGTCTTTGGGAATTTTTGTCCATTCCTCTTTGCAGTACCTCTCAAGCTCAGTCAGGTTGGATGGGAAGTGACAATGTACAGCTGTTTTCAAAACTCTTCAGAGATATTTATATAGGATTTAGGTCTGGGCTCTGGCTGAGCCAGTCAAGGACATTCGCCGAGTTGTTGTGAAGCCACTTCATTGATATTTTGGCGGTGTGCTTTGGGTCATTGTCCTGCTGGAAGATAAACCGTCACCCCAGTCTGAGGTCAAGAGCACTCTGAAGCAGGTTTTTGTTCAGGATGTCTCTGTACATTGCTGCATTCATCTTTCCCTTTATCCTGACTAGACTAACAGTTCCTGCAGCTGAAAAACATCCCCACATTATGATGCTGCCACCACCATGCTTCATTGTAGGGACTGTAGGGATGGTATTAGCCTGGTGATGAGCGGTGCCTGGTTTTCTCCAAACGTAATGCCTGGCATTAACACCAAAGAGTTCAATTTTAGTCTTATCAGACCATAGAAGTTTATTTATATAGATCGTTCACACCGAAAGCGGTGAGAGTGTCAAAATTCGCTACATTGATCTCGTATTTAAAGGGGCCGTTGCAGCATGTCAGTTACATTCCTGCATAAAACATGCTTTCTAGCATGAAAATGTTGCGCACTTCCTATCAAATTCATTTAACAATGGAAGATCAAGTTGCATGTAGTGTGGCTTTGCTCCACTAAATTATCCAATGTGTTTATATGTCTGAAATATCCTGAAGCAGCAATACTGTTTTGTACTGTCGCATGAGATTTCTATATATATATATATATATATATATATATATATATATATATATATATATATATATATATATATATATATATATATACACATATATAACATTAATGCACATTAGTAACTCGCCAGTAACTTATTTAATGCATGTTCCTATAAGAAAACATTGGTCGGAACCAAAGTTCACAGGTCTGTGTTCTCTGAACTCTTCTCAAGCGGTGGACTTCTTCATTCTGATTGCTTGCCGCCGAACCGCGTCATAGCTCACTACAATAAACAACTTAATTTCAACTCTCCTCGACGCTCACACCAGTAAAAACGCGCTGCGCTGCTCCTCTTCACTTATTGCCGCCGGCTCTCATTGAAAATGAATGACTTCCGGCTACTTTGATGCTCTTGCCACTTTCGGTGTGAACGTACGGTGAGAATCCTTCAGATGCCTTTTGTCAAATTCCAGGCAGGCAGCAGCTTCCATCTGGCCACCTACCATGCAAGTCTGATTGGTGGATTGCTGCACAAGATGGTTGTCCTTCTGTAAGGTTTTCCTCTCTCCACAGAAGAATGCTGGAGCTCAGACAAAGTGACTATCGGGTTATTGATTACCTCCCTGACTAAGGCCCATCTCCTCCGATCACTCAGCTTAGTTGGCCGGCCAGTTCAAGGAAGAGTCCTAGTGGTTCCAAATATCTTCCACTTATGTATGATGGAGGCCACTGTGCTCATTGCAACATTGGAGCAACAGAAATATTTCTGTAACCTTCCCCAGCCTTGTGCCTTGAGACAATCTTGTCTCGGAGGGCCATAGCCATTTCTTTTGACTTCATGCTTGGTTTGTGCTTTGACATGCACTGTTAACCCTGGGACCTAACAGACAGGTGTATGCCTTTTCAAATTATGTCCAATCAAATGAATTTACCACAGGTGAACTCCAATTAAGCTGCTAAAACATCTTAAGTATGATCAGTGGAAACACAATGTACCCGAGCTAAATTAAGAGCTTTATGGCAAAGGCTGTGAATACTTATGTACCTGTGATTTTTCAGGTTTTTTAAATATATATATATATATATATATATATATATATATATATATATATATATATATATATATATATATATATATATATATATATATTAGGGATGTAACGGTATCAGAATTTCACGGTACGGTAATACCTCGGTATGAATGGCACGGTACGGTTTTTATTGAATCATTTACAGGGAAAACAAAACTTATGAAAATACTCCAAAAAAGTGCCAAAATTGTCAATGACATACAAATTAGCCATCTATCTGTAAGCTTTGAAACACTAACTTCAATTTTAATAACAAAAAATTATTAAACCATGTAAAAAAATAAAGTTTCAATTTAGTATTGTTGAAAACTCATCACATTCAACATTTAATCACTCACTCACTCACTTAGATAGAGATGGGTTTAAAGGAAAATTATCATATACCTCTATTATATTTATCTTCATATTTATCATATAAATCTGGTAAAAGCTGGTATCTCTGGGTATTTACAATGTCCCCTGCAACATAAAAAAAACCCTCTCATTTGGGACTGAGGTTTCTGGGACAGAGATATGACTTGGCCCATGTTGACACCAGTGGGTAACGTTGTGCATTGTCTTTCCCCCACTTGAGAGGACAAACCATGAGTGAGATAGAGATCTCTTTGCGGTACAAGTCAATGTCTGCATCAATCTGAACAGTGTGCTGTGTTTCTGCAGTCCCCATGACTGCTATTAGTCGTATTCCCCAACTTGCAGGCACGTGCACACATAGGGCTCAGCATGTGCAGTGCACATGCCCTTTTTAGTCTTGGATAGAAAATGCCCTTCCAAAACGATCAAAAGTGCCCCCGCGACGCGACACAACCTCCGTCCAGCCCTTCAGTAGGTGCGCGACAACACCGCTCTTGAGTATGCGCGCTCAACCCCCCTCGGCGGTTTACAATACGCGCGCTACAACTCAGCTGATCAGAATGCGCGCGACAACTCAGCTGATCAGAACGCACGCGACAACACAGCTGATCAGAACACGCGCGACAACACAGCTGATCAGAACTCGCGCGACAACACCACTTTTCAGTACACGCACGGCGACAACACCCGCTTTAGGTTCGATCATTTCCATCTTTTTTTCATCTCCGCTACTAGCAGCACACTCCATTTCCGCATTACTGGATCTGCAGCGACAACAGACCGCAAAGGATTATGGCCATGCCTGGGCTGATGGGAAATGTAGTTTCAGCTACCTCCTGTTCGCTTCATTCGCCTGAGCAAATTTTCTCAGAAGACCTATAGTTTTACCGAGTCATGCGACTTCGCATATATATATAAATTTGCAACAATTAAAAAAAAAAACTTTTTTCACATTGTCATTATGGGGTATTGTGTGTAGAATTTTGAGGAAATAAATTAATTTAATCCATTTTGGAATAAGGCTGTAACATAAATGTGGAAAAAGTGAAGCGCTATGAATACTTTCCGGATGCACTGTACATTCAGATATTATCTTAAGCATCATACTTAATCTTTGTCAAAAATAACTGTTAAATATAATTTAAAATATATATTAAACTTGTGTAGTACCTCCTTCAATTGAGTAAAAGGGACACATCTCAGCAGTTTGATGTTGTTTGCTAAAAATGTGGAGAATGTAATAATGACGTACAAACTTCTGCACTTCTGTAATTAAAACAAGAGATACACACATTAGCATACAGAAAACTTGCTTAGCTGACACATGTGTTCAGCACTAAATAAAAGAGTTCACTCTGCACCATTTTTAATGTGCTTGATCAATTTATCTTTGGATTTTTTCACACTGTTCGGCAGGATCTCGCCGTCTTCCATCTTGTACCATTCTAAGCATCTTTTCTTAGCCTTGGTGATATTTGTGAAAGTGACACATTCTGAAAATGATAGATCAACAAAATCATGTATGAGTTGGCATTTTACATTTGAGCATCTTTCAAATCAAATTTCTACACTGTAAAAATAAATCTGTACATTTTACAGTAAAAAAATAAATAAAAATAAAAAAATCTGGCAGCTTCGATTGTCAAAGTTTTGCCCAACAATATAATTTGAAACTGTAAAATGTTTTATATTTCATAAAAAAATAAATAAATAAATAGAACCATGGTAATGTGATCAAAAAAGAATTAAAAATTAAGTGTCATACAGGGAATTCTGAGAAAGTCTGTTCACGGTTATTCACAATATATATAATGTAAATTTTGAATTAACACCAGACATTATGCCTGCATCATTTTAAACAAACAAAATTAAAAGTACAGATATTGAGTGAAACTTTTATTCAAATAAATGTGCAACAATCTGGCTGAATAAAAAAGTAAAGTGAAATAAATAAATAGATAAAAATAATGCAACACTTAATATTGCACCTTTAAACAAGTAAAAGTAGGTTATTTAAATTAAAAAATAATAGAAAAAAATGATTCAAATTATTATATAATTAATATTAATGATTCATCATTTTAAATTATAATCATTAATAAACAGCTACAGAAAATTTAGTAGAAACCACTAGAAAATTCTCATTCTCTCTGGATTTATTGTATTAGATATGAGTTTAAGTAAAAAGTTTTTGTTGTTGTTGGTGTTGTTGTTATGAAGGTCTTTATACTCTTTACAAGGTCATAAAATTTCTTACAATTTTCAAATAAAAATACTGTAATTTAACTTTTCTTTTTTTAAATCAGATAATGTCTGCTGGTCATGAGTAATCTGGAACTGGTGTGTGAGTGCGGTACATGATGGGATATGTAGCTTAGTTAAGTGGCAAATGTGTAGTTGGGTGGATGATAGAGTGTTTCCAGTGATCTGCAAAGACTAGATGGCTGGTGATCATAACAGTCATCTAAAAAAGAATGTAAACATCCAAAAGCAAGGACCTTTTTAGTTATTTTTATGGAAAACAGCTCTTAACGATAACATATTTATTGTAAATTTGAAATTAATGATCAGTGATTTTGGTAAGCATAACTATAAATAATTATTCTAGAAGAAACTTGTCAAGTGTTCTCTTTTTTCATGTACTGTATAAGTCAAAACAATGTAAAACACGTTTGATTGTCCACATTTAATGTGCATAAGATTGAAGTAAATAAAATAAACATGAAGTAAATATGAAGTAAATAAACCAACAACTAGCTTTTTTGTTAAATAAAATTGTAAGAAGTAAAAACTACAGTTTGTTCTTCATAAATTTATTCATTCATTTTCTTTTTGCCGTAGTCCCTTTATTAATCTGGGGTAGCCCCAGCGAAATGAACCGCCAACTTATCCAGCATATGTTTTACGCAGCAGATTTCCTTCCAGCTGCAACCCATCACTGGGAAATGTTCATAAACGTACTTAAATGAAAGTAGTCAGTAACCCAGTGAAGTACAAATCCCCCAAAATAACACTGAAGTACAGTAATCAAGTAAAAACACTAAAGTACATTAAACTCTTCACCGTTTCGATGTTTCACAGGAGGAATGATGATCTTCTTTGGTGCTGATCTTCCAACCTTGTTAGTTGCAATTATAGAAATGCTGGCATTTGAATAGGTTACTGAGATGTCAAATGTTTGATTCAAAGTCGAGAGTTGAATTCTCTTGGGTTTTCCACAAGACCAAACAGAGAGGTTCATATTGTAAGTCACACCTCCAATAGTCTCTTCTGCAGATGTGGCCTGGAAAAAAATTACATTTGAGCAACTTTCTTATCACTATAACAAGAAACTAAAAAGAACCATATTAATGTGAACAAAAAAGCATTAAAATCGTGTGGTGCGAAGAATTCTGGGAAAGTCAGTTCCAATTATTCATTCATTCAATTTCATTTTAGCTTAGTCCCTTCGTTAATCAGGGGTTGCCACAGCGGAATTAACTTATCCAGCATATGTTTTATGCAGCGGATGCCCTTCAACCTGCAACCCATCATTGGGAAACACCTATACACTCTCATTCACACACAAACACTACAATAAAATAATTTAGCTTACCAAATTCACATATAGCGCATGTCTTTGGACTGTGGGTGAAACCCAAAACACAAACAAGGAGAGAACATGCAAACTCCACACAAAAATGCCAACTCAAACCAGCGACCTTCTTGCTGTGAGCTGACAGCGCTACCCACTGAGCCACTGCGTTTACAGTTATTTACAATATATTAAGGATACTTACTGTTACCTAAAAATCTATAAAATTTACGATTAAAAAAATGGCAGCTGTGATTGCTAGAATTGAATCGTTACAATACGGTAAGAACAAAAAATAAATTCCTAGGTTTTACAGTAAATTGCCGTATTTCATAATTATTATTCTGTTTATTTTTCATCATACAGCAATGTTCTGAAGTACTAACATCAGGCAAAATGCAAACATAAGCATATGGGGATAAGAAAGTCATATTGAACCAATGCTCATCCCATCACAAGCAACTGTTCCCACAAGCAGCGAAACATATTAATATACAGAAACAACTCAGGGCTTTATTTTAATGGTTTAGGTGCAAATTCTAAAGTGCAGGACGCAAAAGCATTAAGGGCATTTCCGAATCCACTTTTGCTATTTTAGGAATGGGAAAATACGCTCTGCGCCGCAACACATGGTCTAACAGAGTTGTGCTTATTCTTTTAATGAGTTATGACTGTTTTGGGAATAAACCAATCAGAGTCTCCTCTCACATTCCCTTTAAAGAGCATTTTGTAGGTTAAAAAACTATATCATTAAAAGGTATACTCTATAATACCATATTAAAATGTTTTATGAAGCGCAAGGGCATACATTTTAAAGAAAATGTGTCTGTTTTCCCACTTCAAGAAAGTCTGCTTTTTTCTCTCTAACCACCCCGGTGACGTCAGATCAGGCACTTATTTGACAGGTGCGCACTGTTTACAGTGTGGTAGAGTAGAATATTGCAGAAAATTCTGTTAGTTTTGTCAAAATTTATCATCATTATAGTGGTATATTATTGCATTTATGGGAACTGCACAAACTCCAACCTGTCAGCATATTAAGTCCACAAGTTTCCCATTGCTATTTTGGTTTGCAAAATAGGGTGAATCCGATAAGACTGAAAGCTGACGCGAAAACGGCAAAAAACATGCTCGTGGATCAGTCAGAGATGCAGCTCGATGAAAACGAAAACTGTACAGACACTGTAACTGTAAAGTTGATTTTATATTCGCACATTCGTTTAGTGACAGCTTGTGACACAGTCTCTGTATTGTTTACCATGGTACTTTGAATATAATGACTGAAATCACATGTAAATATGACTAAAAACAACATTAGCACTACTAAACTAAGTGTTGTACTTTGATAGTCATTGGCTGCTAATATGATGTTATTATTAGGAATTAGCAAAGAATACTTTTCTGAAATTATATTAATAGGGAGAAAGTCCGAATGTGTGAATATTAAACCAACTTTACCTCAGTGTAACCTCAGACCTTCACCTCGTTCATCGGGTAAACTATTATGACCCCTATAGTGAATTAATTATACATGGTATTATTTGATAAAGAAAAACTAAAAGGGCAAATAATTACTATATTTTTATATAATGCAGGCAGATAAACTCAGACACTATCTTTCATTTCCTTTTTTTTTTAAATATTGTGAATGTGTAACAGTTGACTTCCATAGTATCTGTTTTTCCTACTAGTCAATGGTTACAGATTTTTATCTTTCTTCAAAATATCTTTTGTGATCAACAGAAGAAAGTCAATAAGGTTTGAAACCACTTGATGGAGAGTAAAAAGTACTCTGTCCTGTCACTCCTGTCCACTACATTTGCTCTCCTTTCTAGATCCTTTCAGTGGGTTTACAAGGATGAGGCTGTCGGCATCTTTTCACACAGCATTCACAATTTAGCACACATTAAAGACATGATAATGTGGCACCCACATAAATGTTGGCCAAGTTACTGAAAAATTATTTTAATAAGGTTTACTTTTAAATGGGTCAGATAATATATTTTTCTTTCAGTATTATATGTTTGTTTCCTACTTATACACATGCTCACACAGATACTTATACATATATAAAGGAGTAAACATGTTGGGTATTAACAGTGCTTATGATTTTGTGATATATAAATAAAACTTGAACTTGAGTTGCATATTAGAATTTGAACTTGAATTAAGGTTGAAGTTTATTAAACCATAAATGCAGATCATATCCGTTGATCAAATCTTTGTAAATGTTTTATACAGTAACAACTGCTTGTATTTTTTTATGGATCTTATACCCAATGAAAAAAAAACTGACAAAACGACACATATATTAAGACTTATTTAAATTGTTTCAATATTTGATGGTATTTTTATTTTAATACAAAAGCTCTGAAAACCTTTTGTGTAATAAAATGTTCTAGTACCTTGTTTACATGTTTCTGCATTATTCCAGATGTTCTGTGTTATTTGTGTTTTGTATTCACTTATCTACAATTAAAAAATAGGGTTAATGTGGCATAACTCTGTTAAATGCTCATTAGTTTTTTGTTACTGGTAAGTATTAATACTTTCCAGATGATCAATACTAGCTTTGCTATTGCCAGATAAGATTTCGTTATCTTAAATATCTGTCTGTAAGCAAACACTGGTCTCAGCATGAACCTGCTCTGTTCTCCTCACAATTCAGTTCAATTACACTTCTCTGATGGCTATTCTCTCTGCTGGTCTGTCCACAGGCTTATAATTGTATGGCTGTGGTCTATCATTTTTGTGAATATCTCAGAATATCTTATCTCGGCAACCAAACGCACACCGCAATCAGCTATCTTCATACTATGTATATGCGCGATCTGATCTGGAAAATCTAGTTCCTACTTAACTCTTATGCACATTGACTCTCTGGGGTGTCCAACCTACAATATGCTCTTTAAGAGTCAGTTGCGTTGCGCCATCCGCTATTTACATGGCAGACTTCGTAAGTGGAAAAATTTAACAATTTACTATGGAAAAAACAGTTAAACAGATCATCTGCAGCGCTAAAATTAGAGAATGAGCCTTCTCCAATCAGCCTTTACTTTCACTTTCACTCTCTTTCATAGATAAGGAAACAGACATCCACTAGCCTACATAATTAATTTAATTTGTTAAGCGTAAAGATTAGATTCAAAACCATTGCTGAATTCAGTTTTAATTTACAGCACATGAATAAATGAACAATAATAACGAAGTGTGTTCAAAAAACTGAGTTATATCCAAACAAACATGACATGCCCCATATGGTCCAAATCCTGACAGGTGGAAAAATTTAAGCTTGTTTTTGATAAAACGAATATGAATATGCATTTAATAAATACTACTACATTAGAATAACATTATACCAAAGCAAATTGTCATGAATAAACAAAAAAAAGCCCCCCTACCAAGTGGATTTGCTATTTAAACAACGTGATGAAAAACGGGAAAATTAGGTTGCGTTGGTGTCAAAATAGCAACAGGTCATGAAAACACGTCTTGCACCTTACTGTGCCGAGTGGATGATAGGGCCCTCAGTGTCATTTACTGAGCTAACACCATTACGGTAACATATAAAATTAAAGTAATGCAGAAAACATTATTTATCAACATTAGACATCAACATAAAACTCTAATGTGCATTTTCATAAGAGAACCCCCCCTAAAAAAAACATATCAATGTCAACAAAAATATAAATAAAATATTAAGTGTCATGCAGAAAATTCTGGGAAAGTGATGGTTATTTACCATCTGTTAGGGAAAGTTTGGCATTTTTACAGTTTATTACCATTGAAATCACAGATATGTTTTAACAGTATAGAAAAATGAATCAGATGAGGTTTATCATAAATTATTTATGAAACCTTTGGATTTTATTTGTCAGGGTTTTTTTTATGTATGTTGTCAGATTCCTTAGAATACCTAGCTGTAGAAAAAGATCCAATTAGTTAAATTCTATGGGATTAGTTTATATATTTAATATTCAAGGGTTGTATTGACAAAATAGATGAATTAATAAGAAGCACTTAAAACACTTTATTGATGTATTGATATTATTACATAAATCTTGTTCTTTTTTGTTTCATTTATGTTTAACTAACAAACATAAATCACATAAAGTTTATTAGCTTTGTTATGGTAAAAGTATGCAATCCAAATGGATAGAAATTGTATACACAATCAGAATACATACATCGTATTTGTTATGCTTAAATATGTTTTTTATTGTAAAGAAATTTTGCCTCTTATACTTACAGCCCAGGTGATTTTAATATCCCTGGTACCATTTGACCATACTTTTTCCTCCAAGTGTAATACAGGTGGAACGTGGATTTCTGCAGAAAGGTGTTACATTTGTAAAGAGGTTTTTACTTACTTAAAAATGGCTTTTGCACTGTGAAATTGACAGAGATGAAATCAAACCTAAGGGAATATCCGTCAGTGCGCTCCAGTCGCTCCATAGAGAATGTGAGTCATTACACTGAAGTGAGTGTAGTTTGGCCTGCCGCCTCAGCTGGATCTGGTAGACGGTCCGGTTGTGTAGATGTAGTGTGTATAAATCTAGAAACAATCATTTCCATCCGTTTATTTTTATTGTTTTTATTCACAATCTTTCAATAGTGAGATGATTTAAAAGGTTTATCATTGTGATGTAACAAATACTCAAAAGAATGCTAAAGTAGAGATAATGAGAATTTTATTATCTCAAGTAAATGCATCTTGGCAAAAAAAGTACTTTACATTGTTTTATAAAAAGTAAAAGTAACAAAAAAAATCTAATAAGAGGTGACATTATTTTCATCATATTGAATTATTTTCTTATGCAAAGTGGAATAAATATCATAAAGTGTTTTGTCAGTATACAGACAAATAGGTTAAAGGGAGAAATTAAAAAAATTATGCTGAAAACATTTTTGAAGTAATAATGACAGCTTTTACAATGCTGCAGATTGGAAGATTAAAAATATATAGTCCTTAAGGCATTCTCTTTTCTTAACCAAAAAAAAAAAAAAAAAAAAAAACATTGGTTAAGATAAGATAATGAATTAGTCCACCCCCAAAAAAAGTAATACTCAAATAAAGAAATCATTAAAAAATAATTTGAGTATTTAACCCTGATTATCACAATCATCATCCGATTTTTTTATATTAAAATAATTCAGTTTCTGTTTGCACTCACTTGTTTGAACTACTTGTTATTTAAAATAAGTTGAAACAACACATTTTTGGAACAACTTAATTGTTCCATGTTCAATTCACTTAAATTTGTAAAAACGATTTAGTTAACTTAATCAGATTGTTTTGGGACAACATGAAGGAATTGTGTAAAACACAGAATATTTTTACAGTGTGTATTAAGATATGAAGTAGGGAATTTTCTGTCCAGTCAAACCGTTAATGACTGAAATGATCAATTAATATAAACACAAATTTTTGTTGGAAATAAATATTCTATATTACATTACTTCCTGCTATGCTACTGCTCAGACGCTTCTGCCAACTCCTCTGCTCCTTGCATGCTTGCTTTACATTTTATACTCTAATATTAACTTGAGCCTATCAGCACAGTGCTCAAACGACACAGCTTGAAGATCAACATCGAATCTACAAACTTTCTGGAATACAACTTTACCAACAAGAGGGCAATCATCGTCTAAACAATCATCCCGCTACCAGCTGCTTACATTCCTGAGACAGGAAAACACGGCTGTGAAAATGGCTTTGGGTCATATTGATTTAGAATTTCCCTGCTCCAAAAACTGCCACAAACTTTTACAAAAGACTGCAGTTCTTGAAACAAAGGTACTTGCGTTCTGACCAGAATTGCCGAATCACACAGGACCGCTTAATTGTGGACCTTCACAGCATACAGCCGGTGAGTCCCATAAATCTACTCCAGCTATACTGTTTTGAGCAAAGAAATACTGAATAAAACAGTTGAAAATGAAACAGAATCAAGTCTCAGCACTCATGGATGATCTCCAGGAAAACAGCCAGGTCAACATATCTCAACAGCCAGAAACCCCAGACTCACAGCCTCTGTCACCAGACATGTTCTCATTGTCACCTTGCTCGCCTCTCTTGAATTTTTCAAAAAAGATGGAGGAACTGGTGTTTGCTGGAACTCTCACACTCCATTGCTGTTAGCAACCAGTTAGCAACCAAAAATCAACCAGCCTCACACCCATCTCTGAGCCCACCTCGCTCTACACCTAGGAGAGGCCTCAGGTCTTTGCCAGGTCTCAAAAAACACCTCATCCTCAGCTGGCAAACTTAAATACTGCCATTGAGGTGTCTCGGGTGCCTGCTTAGATAACAGTCTTTAGCAGATGTTCACAGAACAAGCAGGAACCCAGTGTGCCTGTAGCCTCTATGCAAATTGCCTTGATTTTATATCGAAACTTGGCTAGATGACAGTGCAGCAGTTCTGAATGAAACAGCACCTTTAAACTTTGTGCTTGGCATAAGAGTCGTTTTGAAGTTTTGCAACATGCTGTTTAAATAGCAAAAGCATTTCCGCTCATATGTGCGCCCTTAGGCATTCTGGTCTAAAAATGGAGGCGTGTTAAGGTGCATTGCTGGCGCGTTGCTATTTTAAGGAACTATAATAGACGGCACAATAGATCAGATCAAAGCTGGTCTAAAGTCCAGCGCAAAGCAGGTTAGTTGTGCGCTTTGCTTAAACATTGCTTAATACACACAGGATGTAGAGAAATACGCAAATATCTTTACAAATTAAAAATAATCATAGAATTAAAACATTACAAAAATTATTATTTTCTAGCCTACATAAATATAAAAATCACAGCCTCCATGCCATCTTCATCTCGGGGGACTTTTTAAAATTATTTATGACAACTAGCCTTTGTATAATGTTATTATTAGTAGTATTATTATTTATTATATGCTTGTTTATATTTGTTTTATTAAAAACAAGCTTAGATTTGTCCACCTGTCAGGTTTTGGACTATATGGGGCACAGCATGTGAATTTGGATATAACTCAGGTTTTTGATCACACTTCAATATTATTTGTTTGCTGAAAATTAGAACTGAATTTAGAAACAGTTTTGAAACAAATCTTTGCACTTAATAAACTAAATTAATTATGTATGGGCTAATGAATGTCTGTGCGTACAACATGTTTCCCTATCAATAAGAGTGAAAGTGAAAGTTAAAAATGAAAAGGCTTATCTCTCATTCTCGTGCTGCAGATGCTCTGTTTAACTGTTTTCTTTCAAGTGAAATGCTCAGATTTTCTACTTACAAAGTTCGCTATGTAAATAGCAAATGCGATATGGCGCGACACAACTGACTCTTAAAGGGAATGGGGTATGAGACTCTGGTTTATTCTCAAAACACATCTATAATTCATTAAGAGAATAACTCAACCCTGTTAGACCATGCGCTGCGGCGAAAAGCGGATTTTCTCGTCCTTAAAATAGCAAAAGTGGATTCTGACATGCCCTTAAGACTTTAGCGGCCTGCGCTTTGGACTTGCGCCTTTTGTGTATGGATCGTCAAATTAAAGCCTTATGAGAATAAACATGTGTCATTTGGTGACTATTTGTCTTTTAAATATATTAGTATAGCACTGAAAGGTGCTCCGCGCATCTTACTGATCATTATCTACAGGCCTCCAAATTATTCTCTAACTTTTATTGATGATTTTACAGAGCTGTTATCAATAGTAACCTCTGAATTTGAACATTTTAATATTGCAGGGGATTTTAATATTCACATTGATAATCCAAAAATCAATGCTGTAAAAGAACTAAAAGAACAAAATGACAGTTTTTAACACTTTTGATCTGACTCAGCATGTTCAAGGACCCACACACAATCGTGGACACACTCTTGATCTACTTATAACTAAGGGTTTACAAATTTCATCGACTGTTGTTAAGGATGTGGCACTATCTGATCATTTCTGTATCTTCTTTGATATATTGATCACTCCAGCTATTAAAGACAGATCTGTCTCTGTCAGAAAGAGATGCATAAAAGAGAACACTAGTGAGCAGTTTATGAAGGCCATATCGCTAGCACCAAGTATATCTGCAGACTCTGTTGATTCTCTCCTTGATTTGTTTAACTCTGAAGTTAAGAATGTCATATGTGACATTGCTCCAGTTAAAGTCAAGAAGAGAACAGGCAGACAGAAAGGATTCTGGACAAGGTTAACATCGGTAAATATGATGAAAAGACATGATGAAGTGATAATATGATAATATCTATAAAGAGAGTCTTAATGCTTTTAATGTGGAACTAAACACTGCTAGGCAGACTTTCTTTTCAAGCCGTATAAAAAGCAGCCTAAACAATGCTTGTACTCTCTTTGCAATGGTAGAGAGATTAATCATATCAGAAAGGCAATAAGCTCATCCAATTAGCCAAGTTGTGTCGATGTCAGACAAGCTCAACCACAACTTACGAAGCAATTAATGGTAAATTCTTAGAAGAGACTGTGCAAATTATGAAAACATCAACCTGCAGTTTTGACACGCTCCCCACATCATTCTTCAAAACGGTGTTTACCTGTTTAGAAATGGATCTTCTAAAAGTGGTAAATGCTTCACTTTTCTCAGGGATTTTTCCAAACTCACTTAAAACTGTTGTAGTTAAACCCCTCCTAAAATAGAGCAACCTGGATAACACCCTTTTGAGCAATTACAGGTCAATCTCAAATCTCCCTGTTATTGGCAAAATCATTGAAAAAGTTGTTTTTAACCAGGTTAACAAGTTCTTAAACTTCAAGGGTTGTTTAGACAATTTTGGATCTGGTTTCAGACCACATCACAGTACAGAGAGCACTCTTAAAAAGATAACCAAAGATATACTCCTAAATACAGATTCAGGCAAACTAACTGTGCTGGTATTGCTAGATCTCAGTGCTGCATTTGACACTGTCGATCACAGCATACTTCTGGATAGGCTGAAAAATTAGGTTGGTCTGTCTGGGACGTTCCTCAAATGGTTCAGATCTTACCTTAAAGGGAGTTACCTTACTATGTCAGTATAGGTTGAGGTGTACACCCATGACATGTGGAGTCCCACAAGGCTCAATTCTGGCACCTCTCCTGTTTACAGGTAGTTTTACTACCTGTCTATAAATCACTAAATGGTCAAGGACCTCAATACATTACAGATATGCTCCCTGAATATAAACCTAACAGATCAATTAGATCTTTAACATCATATAAACTGGAGATTCCAAGAGTTCAGTCAAAGCAGAATTGGCTTTCAGCTACTACGCCCCTCGCTGCTGGAAACAGCTTCCAGAAATGATCTGATGTGCTCCAACATTAGGCACATTCAAATCAAGACTGAAATCCCATCTGTTAAGGTGTGCCTTTACTGAATGAGCACTGTGCTACGTCCGACAGATCGCACAATTGTCTTTTCTTTTTCATTCTTTTATAACCTGTTTTAACACATTTTCATCTGTTTTTATCTTTTTAAATATTTTTTATTATTTGTTAAATTTTTTTTAAATTTTTGTCTTTTTTATTCTTGGTTATGTAAAGTACTTTCTATGAATGCCACTATGTATGAAATGTGCAATCTAAATAAACTTGCCTTGCCTTATATTTTATTGTTTTATCTTTAGATTTTGTGCATAAGTAATATGAAGAATATTCAAGAATGACTAAATAAGTGATTTCAAAGTCTTTTATTTCACTGAACTGCACAGTAAAAAGTGATTATTACTGTACAATAAAAATTGAGTCAATTAAGTTATTTTTACTTTAGAAAGTCAGTAAAACCATTGACTTATAGTTAAGCACATAGTTTGTTTACATAATAATTTTAAGACTAAAAAGTATTTACTCTCTTTAAAGTACTTCAAAGTTTTTACAGTGTAGAAAAAAACATAAAAAATAAATATAGACCAAGGTAATGAGATGATAAAAAATATTTATATATTTTCATTATTTTTGAGGGTGACCTTTTCAGTTGAGTCTTGTTTATTAGAAACACAAAGAGCAGATTGTTGCAATATTGCACTGAATTATTTTAACATGTAAATAAATTGAATGAACAGCTTAAGATTTCTTACCTTTGTAAGTGTTCTCCTTAGTTTCAAATGTTGCCTGCAATTTTAGAACATATCAAATATTTAGCAAAATACCACACTTATTTCAAGCTATAAAAATATAAGAATTTCTGAAGCATCTTACATTCTGCCATTCAGAGCCTCTCTCCCTCCATCTAATCTCATATATAACGCTTTTATTATCCTTTGGTTCATCCAGACTGAGAAACAGGTTTCCAGCTGACCTTTCCATGCTGGCAATGTTAGGTTTACTGTATTTGACTGTTGAAAATTTAAGAGTGAGTACATGATAGAGGAAACACACCATATATTGTCCTCAAAATAAATGAAATGACCAAAAAGTATTCAGACACCTTGAACATTTCTATTTTCTAGTTTGGAAAATTATAATAAAAACAAATACAAAAACAAATAGAGAAATGGACAATATGAAAATATTTACACACAAATCAATACTTTGTTACACTGTAAAAAAAGTTTTTTTTAATTAATGCCGAGTTCAGACTGCATGATTTTCAAAGTAGTTGTGTCACAGATGTTTTTACACTGCATGACTATCTGGGCTAGCGTTTTGTCGCGACTTTGTTTACACTGCAAGATGGATCGGCAAGATGGAACAATTGCCCACAACTTTGTCCAAAATACATCTCACAACCAAAAACACGTAGTATATCTTTAATTATTACCTACATAATGAGAAAAAAGCCTTTAATGATGTAGAAAAGTACATATTGCTCATCTGAGTTTAAGGGGAATTAGAAATTTCTCCTCAACTTTTTTTTTTTTTGGAACCGGTTGTGATATTGCTCAGATGACATGTCAAACAGACACGGGTGTTCCTGCCAAATGTACACTAGTTTTTGGCAGTTTTTCCTTCATTTCTTAAAATAAACTGAAAATTAGTGCTTTTAACTTGTCCCCCACCCTCCCACTGGCTTGCAGGGGGACAATCTAAAACGCTTAACATAAAAAAAAAGCTTAACGTGGCTTAAAGCATCTAAACATAAACCAGAGAAACCCAAATTTATGTCAAATTGTACTTGTAATTAATCCTAACTACTGTAAAAAGGACGAGTCCCAATTCCATAGATGAAGTGAAAAACAGCCCATTAAGGGCTTTATTTTGACGATCCATGCGCAAAGTGCAAAGCGCGGGCGCAAACGATTTCAGGGCGTCTCAGAATCCACTTTTGCTAATTTAATGACGGAAAAATCCGCTTTTCCCTGGCACATGATCTAAAAGGGTTAAGTTTATTTTCTTAATGAGTTATAGGTGTGTTTTGAGAATAAACCAATCAGAGTCTCATCTCCCATTCCCTTTAAGAGCCAGCTGTGTCGCGCCATAAGCGCATTCGCTATTCACCTGATGTAAAGTAAGAGTAATTGGAAAAACTGAGCATTTCAATAGCAAGAAAACAGTTAAACAGAGCATCTGCAGCACGAGAATGAGAGATAAGGCATCTCATAATCTACTTTCACTTTCGCTCTCGTGAATAGGGAAACCTTGTACGCACAGACATCAATTAGCCTATACATAATTAATTTCATTTGTTAAGTGCAAATATTTGTTTCAAAACTATTTCTAAATTTAGTTCTAATTTCCAGCAAACAAATAAATGAACAATAATAAGTGTGGTCAAAAACCTGAGTTATATCCAAATACACATGCTATGCCCCATAAGGTCTGAAACCTGACAGGTGGACAAATCTAAGCTTGTTTTTAATAAAACAAATATATATATGGATATAATAAATAATACTGCTAATAATAATAACATTATACAAAAGCAAATTCATCCTAGATGAAGAAGGCATGAAGGCAGTGGTTTTTAAATTTATGTAGGCTAGAAAATAATATGTTTTGTAATATTTTAATCCTTTATATTTATATTCTATATATATTCTTATTATATCCTATATATATCCTTAATATTTTAATTATTTTTTATTTGTAAAGATATTTGCGTATTGCTCTACATCTTGTGTGTATTAAGCATTGTGTAAGCGAGGTGAACATTTAACGCACTCTGCACTGGACTTTAGACTGGCTTTGTTTTGGTCTATTGAAAAATGTATTATAGTTTCTCAAAATAGCAACACACCAGCAATGCGCCTCATGAACTTCTTCCTTTTTAGACCAGAACGTCTATGGGCACACATATGAGCGCAAATGCATTTGCTATTTAAACAGTATGGCAGAAAACGTCAAAATGACTCTTGTGCCAAGCTGAAACTAGCAAACAACAATTGCGTCGCACCTTGCGCTGCATTGCACCGAGTGTATGATAGGGCCCTAAGCGTTTTCTCCACCAATGAAGAAAAAGCTTAACGTGGCTTAATGTACCTTAACAACAAGTGGGGAAAATCTAATCTCTATCAAATTTTACTCATGACAAACACAATCTGATGTCAAAAGAATGAGCTCTAATTTTAGTAAGTGAAAATTTTCACAATATGCATTTTAAGTCCATTATAAGGAAACAGCTTAACATGGCTTGACGTTTCTTAACACGCACCAGGGAAACCTAAATTTCTGTCAAACTTTACTTGTGATTAACTCTAACTATTATCAAAAGAACGGGCATTAATTCCATAGATAAAGTAAACAATCACGTTAACCATTTTCTCCCTATTAAAGTCTAAAGAAAGGCTTAACATAACTTTACAACAATAGAGGGAAACCAAATGTTATATAGGCTGTTCATAAAATCAAAAGTTAGTCTTAATTACAAGTCAAATTTGATAGAAATTAGATTTTCCCTGCTTGTTGTTAAGGTACACTCAGCCACGTTATGCTTTTTCCTTATAATAGACTTCAATGGTGGAGAAAACTCTTAATGTGCTGTTTTTTACTTTATCCATGGAATTGGGGCTTGGTTTTTTTACAGTAGTTGGGGTTAATAACAAGTACAATTTGACAGAAATTTGGGTTTCTCTAGTTGATGTTTAGTTACATTAAGCCACGTTAAGCTTTTTTCACATTAATCATTTTAGAATTACCCCTTACAGGAACCCATACTAGTAGATGCTGCTCTCTCATTGGTTGTAGATAATCGCTAATGTAGTTTTCAGTTAAAACTCATTTTTGAAATGATTTGAATCGCCGACAGCTTTAGATGTTTATCATGCCAAATATATCACAGGTGTTGGCGACTCATCAGCTATTCTCTTACATCAAGTCATTGATACTTCACACTTATTACACTTGTTACTCGCGTGAACAAGCACTGATTTGCTTGTGATTTCAGGCATTTGTCTGCGATTTCTCAAAACTTGTCGGCGAGTAAAAATCAGGGCTAAAATCATGCAGCCTGAAAGTTGTTAAAAGAAAGATCAAGGTCCCATAATGCAATTCAAAAGCATACATAAATGGGCACAGAAAAATAAAAATCACAAAATACTGCAAATTTAGGGAAGTTTTTCACAGTTTAGTTAACCTTGATCCCCAATGTATGCTTGTAGTCCAGAGTTAAACCAAATATCAAATTCTTTCATTGACTTAAAATATGGTTTTCCTTAAATTATACTGTTATACAAAGCACAAAAAACAGGCTGCTGTTGTGCTTAGCATGATATTAAATGGGTTTTAGCTTGAGTATTTTTTTTTGTCTTTTAGTAGCCACTATGCAAACATCAATGGATAATACTATTTAAAATCTGAGGTCCCTTGCTGTTTTTGTGGCAGTGAAGTGCTTACTATCCCATAATTGAGACCACAGTTGTAGTTGTACATACTTTACATTTAGCTTTTCTGTTGTGTACTTTTTAACAGCCAGTCTTTGAAATATATTCTAATATATATAAGCTATATTCTGAAATGTTGATTATCAGGTACAGTCTGGTGACTGCATTTGACTTAAGTGATTCACAGTGTGAAAAGGCTAAAATGGAGCTAAAATAACCTAAAAATAGGCAGGAGGCACACTCAAAAAAGTGACAAACAAACGTCTATTGCTATTTCATGAGATGTTGAGAATTTTCATGCAAAATTGCAAAAAGTTGACAAATAGTTAATCTAATATTGGTGTATCTTTAACATCTTGTACAAAATATTGAGAACGAATAATGGCATGCCTCATTTCCCACCAAATTTTCCAGCCAGAGAAAGTGACATCACTTGGAGCAAGTCAACTGATGTGTCTATGTTGCTTTTTTTATAATCGATGTAACACAGTTGCTTAAAACGAACAGTCACAAATGTGTTTTTTTTATAAGTTAAATACAAAAATAATACAGAAAATATATATTTCATGCAAATGTTGTTGTTTTTTTATTTAACAAAGTAAACACACAAAACAGTTGAAAATTAGACTGAACCGAAAGAAAAAGCTGATTCAGGAGGCAGAGACGATCAAATATTTGTATAGTGGAAATGTTTAAGTTAAACTTTTCAAGACAAAATGTCCCTAAATAGAAACACACACACACACACACACACACACACACACACACACACACACACACACACACACACACACACACACACACACACACACACACACACACACACACACACTATTGTTTTCTAGAGATAAGTTTATATATTTTGTATTAGTTTATATTTTATATTAATTATTAATAAAAATTGTATTATTAAAGTTTTGGGAAAAAAATAGAAGGTTTTTCTTGGTGATGCATAGTATACCGACAATTCTAGAATGGCCCCTAAAAATACTACTTTAAATAACAGTAGTTAAAAAAAAATAGGGTACAGCAGTTTTAAACAACTTAAGCTCATATTGAAAATGTATCGCTATATACATTTCTGGAGATCGCAAAATATGTCCCAGGAGGTACGTTTTTTTTTGTTTGTTTTTTTTGCTTCACGAATCCACCAGAGGCTGCTGTGTATGCTTTTTGACATCTCAAATTTCTCTTGTGAGTGCCATTTGCATTTGCCTAACATAACCCTAACATAAAAAAAGCTTAACGTGGCTTAAAGCATCTAAACATAAACCAGAGAAACCCAAATTTATGTCAAATTGTACTTGTAATTAATCCTAACTACTGTAAAAAGAACGAGTCCCAATTCCATAGATAAAGTGAAAAACACCCCATTAAGGGCTTTATTTTGACGGTCCATGCGCAAAGTGCAAAGCGTGGGGCGCAAATGCTTTCAGGGCATCTCAGAATCCACTTTTGCTAATTTAATGACGGAAAAATCACCTTTTCCGTGGCGCATGATCGAAAAGGGTTGAGTTTATTTTCTTAATGAGTTATAGATGTGTTTTAAGAATAAACCAATCAGAGTCTCATCTCCCATTCCCTTTAAGAGCCAGTTGCGTCGCGCCATAAGCACATTTGCTATTCACCTGATGTAAAGTAAGAGTAATTGGAAAAACTGAGCATTTCAATAGCAAGAAAACAGTTAAACAGAGCATCTGCAGCACGAGAATGAGAGATAAGGCATCTCATAATCTACTTTCACTTTCGCTCTCGTGGATAGGGAAACCTTGTCTGCACAGACATCAATTAGCCTATAAATAATTTATTTAGTTTGTTAAGCGCAAATGTTTGTTTCAAAACTATTTCTAAATTCAGATCTAATTTCCAGCAAACTAATAAATGAACAATAAAACCAAAGTGTGGTCAAAAACCTGAGTTATATCCAAATACACATGCTGTGCCCCATATGGTCTGAAACCTGGCAGGTGGACAAATCTAAACTTGTTTTTAATAAAACAAATATAAATATGGATATAATAAATAATACTGCTAATAATAATATTATACAAAAGCAAATTGTTATGAATGAACTTAAAAATCCTCCCGAGATGAAGAAGGCATGAAGGAAGTGGTTTTTAAATTTATGTAGGCTAGAAAATAGTATGTTTTGTAATATTTTAATCCTTTTAATTTATATTCTATATATATTCTTATTATATCCTATATATATCCATAATATTTTAATTATTTTTCATTTGTAAAGATATTTGCGTATTGCTCTGCATCTTGTGTGTATTAAGCAGTGTGTAAGCGAGGCGCACAACTAACGCACTCTGCACTGGACTTTAGACCGTCTTTGTTTTGGTCTATTGAAAAATGTATTATAGTTTCTCAAAATAGCAACGCACCAGCAATGCGCCTCATGAACTCCTTCCTTTTTAGACCAGAACGTCTATGGGCACACATATGAGCGCAAATGCATTTGCTATTTAAACAGTATGGCAGAAAACGTCAAAATGACTTTTGTGCCAAGCTGAAACTAGCAAACAACAATTGCGTCGCACCTTGCGCTGCATTGCACCGAGTGTATGATAGGGCCCTAAGCGTTTTCTCCACCAATGAAGAAAAAGCTTAACGTGGCTTAATGTACCTTAACAACAAGTGGGGAAAATCTAATCTCTATTAAATTTTACTCATGACAAACACAATCTGATGTCAAAAGAATGAGCTCTAAGTTTAGTAAGTGAAAATTTTCACAATATGCATTTTAAGTCCATTATAAGGAAACAGCTTAACATGGCTTGACGTTTCTTAACACGCACCAGGGAAACCTAAATTTCTGTCAAACTTTACTTGTGATTAACTCTAACTTTTATCAAAAGAACGGGCATTAATTCCATAGATAAAGTAAACAATCACGTTAACCGTTTTCTCCCTATTAAAGTCTAAAGAAAGGCTTAACATAACTTTACAACAATAGAGGGAAACCAAATGTTATATAGGCTGTTCATAAAATCAAAGTTAGTCTTAATCACAAGTCAAATTTGATAGAAATTAGATTTTCCCTGCTTGTTGTTAAGGTACACTAAGCCACGTTATGCTTTTTCCTTATAATAGACTTCAATGGTGGAGTAAACTCTTAATGTGCTGTTTTTCACTTTATCCATGGAATTGGGACTTGGTTTTTTACAGTAGTTGGGGTTAATTACAAGTACAATTTGACAGAAATTTGGGTTTCTCTAGTTGATGTTTAGTTACATTAAGCCACATTAAGCTTTTTTCACATTAATCATTTTAGAATGTTCCCTTACAGAAACCCATACTAGTAGATGCTGCTCTCTCATTGGTTGTACATAATCGCTAATGTTGTTTTCAGTTAAAACTCATTTTTGAAATGATTTGAATCGCCGACAGCTTTAGATATTTATCATGCCAAATATATTACAGGTGTTGGCGACTCATCAGCTATTCTCTTACATCATGTCATTGATACTTCACACTTATTACACTTGTTACTCGCGTAAACAAGCACTGATTTGCTTGTGATTTCAGGCATTTGTCTGCGATTTCTCAAAACTTGTCGGCGAGTAAAAATCAGGGCTAAAATCATGCAGCCTGAAAGTTGTTAAAAGAAAGATCAAGGACCCATAATGCAATTCAAAAGCATACATAAATGGGCACAAAAAAATAAAAATCACAAAATACTGCAAATTTAGGGAAGTTTTTCACAGTTTAGTTAAACCAAATATCAAATTCTTTCATTGACTTAAAATATGGTTTTCCTTAAATTATACTGTTATACAAAACACAAAAAACAGGCTGCTGTTGTGCTTAGCATGATATTAAATGGGTTTTAGCTTGAGTATTTTTTTTGTCTTTAGTAGCCACTATGCAAACATCAATGGATAATACTATTTAAAATCTGAGGTACCTTGCTGTTTTTGTGGCAGTGAAGTGCTTACTATCCCATAATTGAGACCACAGTTGTAGTTGTACATACTTTACATTTAGCTTTTCTGTTGTGTACTTTATAACAGCCAGTCTTTGAAATATATTCTAATATATATAAGCTATATTCTGAAATGTTGATTAACAGGTACAGTCTGGTGACTGCATTTGACTTAAGTGATTCACCGTGTGAAAAGGCTAAAATGGAGCTAAAAATAACCTAAAAATAGGCAGGAGGCACACTCAAAAAAGTGACAAACAAACGTCTATTGCTATTTCATGAGATGTTGAGAATTTTCATGCAAAATTGCAAAAAGTTGACAGATAGTTAATCTAATATTGGTGTATCTTTAACATCTTGTACAAAATATTGAGAACGAATAATGGCATGCCTCATTTCCCACCAAATTTTCCAGCCAGAGAAAGTGACATCACTTGGAGCAAGTCAACTGATGTGTCTATGTTGCTTTTTTTATAATCGATGTAACACAGTTGCTTAAAACGAACAGTCACAAATGTGTTTTTTTTATAAGTTAAATACAAAAATAATACAGAAAATATATATTTCATGCAAATGTTGTTGTTTTTTTATTTAACAAAGTAAACACACAAAACAGTTGAAAATTAGACTGAACCGAAAGAAAAAGCTGATTCAGGAGGCAGAGACGATCAAATATTTGTATAGTGGAAATGTTTAAGTTAAACTTTTCAAGACAAAATGTCCCTAAATAGAAACACACACACACACACACACACACACACACACACACACACACACACACACACACACACACACACACACACACACACACACACACACACACACACTATTGTTTTCTAGAGATAAGTTTATATATTTTGTATTAGTTTATATTTTATATTAATTATTAATAAAAATTGTATTATTAAAGTTTTGGGAAAAAAATAGAAGGTTTTTCTTGGTGATGCATAGTATACCGACAATTCTAGAATGGCCCCTAAAAATACTACTTTAAATAACAGTAGTTAAAAAAAAATAGGGTACAGCAGTTTTAAACAACTTAAGCTCATATTGAAAATGTATCGCTATATACATTTCTGGAGATCGCAAAATATGTCCCAGGAGGTACGTTTTTTTTTGTTTGTTTTTTTTGCTTCACGAATCCACCAGAGGCTGCTGTGTATGCTTTTTGACATCTCAAATTTCTCTTGTGAGTGCCATTTGCATTTGCACCTGCTCTTCTCACGAAAATCCACCAGAGGCCATTGTTGACTGACTGACTGACTGACTCACCATCCTCCTTCCCTAAACCCAACCGATAGTGTTTTCAAATTTACAGATTGACCAGCGCCCACCCACTTTAAATCCGACCGACAGTTAAAATGCAATCCAGAAAAAGAAAAGCCCTCGCCTGATTTTACCACGTTTTCAGAGTTGACCACATTTTCACCCTGTTATTTACTTTATATTTTATTTTTTGGAATTTGTTTTTGTCTTACTCGCTTTCTGAAACCATTCTTCACCAGACTCGAACCCCGTTGTCGTGGTCAACTCTTCTCTACGTCTCAAGTTCGCCTATGTACATGGCGAGCTACTGGACAAATTGGTAACAGCAGGAAAGCCGTCCATACGGAGCTAAGTGTTCAGCTGGTAAGAGCAAAAAGGAACAGCGTCATTCTGCCCCATAGTGTTTGTTTTAAAAACATATTGTAGCAATACGTAATTCTGGCTACATAATTCACGATCTCCAGAAATGTATACAGGGCTACGTTTTCAGAATGAGCCTATATTGGTTTAATGGATCTCTTAGACTGTAATCTTACCTGAGCAATTAAGGATGACTGAGATTTTGCTTGAATTACAGGTGAGGTTGCGCACTTGTGTCTGTACCCATATATCTGTCTTGCTACTGATGACCCCCAGTTCCTCCAAGGGAATGAATTTTTTTGACTGATTGCCAGTGTTCATATACAAAACACTTTTCTTTCCACTGTCCCTGTGCACCAGAAATTGAGATTTAGATTTAAAATAACGGTAAGACTTTACAAAAACAGTACATGAATAATGATCTATTAATATCTAAACTAAACATTACTTTATAATGAATTAATGATGAGTTAATGCATGAGCTAATCATGAATTAACTTTAACTACAACATGAGTCACAAGAGTTCATGTGTGAATAATTGCTACCTTAATTACTAGTTATTACATGTTTTTAATTAATGTATTAATTAACATTTAAATTTAAGCTAAATGTAACCAACATGAACATGTTTATGTATAATTATGTCATGACTTTACTTGGAGGAGCACATTACCATTAAATCACTACTCATGAACTCTAAACTGTTCATGTTGATGTTAACAGAACCTTTTTCTATTGTTATTCAGCGTAAACACACTAGACGGACGTGCATAAGGAGTTCACGAGTAGTTAAGGCTGAGTTATTGATGACGTGGCCCTCCAAGTAAAGTCATTACAATGGGCAATGCAGTGGCGCAGTAGGTAGTGCTGTCGCCTCACAGCAAGAAGGTCGCTGGGTCACTGGTTCGAGCCTCGGCTAAGTTGGCGTTTCTGAGTGGAGTTTGCATGTTCTCCCTGAGTTTGTGTGGGTTTCCTCCGGGTGCTTCGGTTTCCCCACAGTCCCAAGACATATGGTACAGGTGAATTGGGTAGGCTAAATTGTCCGTAGTGTGTTTGTGAATTATTGTGTCGCAATGTTTTCCAGAGTTGGGTTGCGGCTGGAAGGGTATACGCTGTGTAAAAACGTGCTAAATAAGTTGGCGGTTCATTCCGCTGTGGCGACCCTAGATTAAGAAAGGGACCAAGCCAAAATTAATAAATGAATGAATAATGTGGTAATTAATACACTAATAAACAAACAATCATGTACCAACAAGTAATGAAGGTAGCTGTTATTCACAAATGAACTTATGTGACTCAAATTAACTCATGTGGTTTTGTTACCAAAAACACATATATATTTTCAAGCCTCTGTTCTCTGTATCTGAGGTTTTACTATAGGGCAACTGATCATACTTTTAGATTTTACTGCCATTGCCAAAACATTTTGACAAGAGGTACATCTCTTTTTAAGAAATAACTTTTCAAATGTTTAATAGCTTTAGTTAGCCAATACTTACACCCTTTATAGGATGAAGAACCATATGTTAATTTTTGTTTTTAAGTCATAGAAGTCTTATAATAACCCTCATTGGGATTTTCCAATGAGTATTTCAATCATGCCCTATAAAGAGTTAACTCTAAGGTGTACACTTTTTGTAATCATGAAAAAAATTGTTAATATCTTTGCTGAATGTTTTAGTTGAACTCACCATATATAAAGGGTGTAGGTCTGGTTCTCCTTAGGATTTGGATCATCCCATTCACAGTAAAAGTCATCGTCTGGATTAGTTGATTTTTTGTAACACTGTGGCTTAGTTGTAGGTATACATCCTGCTGCTTTAGGAACATTAAAATAAACATTTATTTAATTGTCATTTATGAAACAGATATTATTAGTCAGTCTGCGCAATACTGTACACTGTAAAATCGAGCAGGGGTGTGTTTCCCAAACAACGACGTAACTTGTGGCTAAACTATCATAGCACGATGCATTGTTTGGGAAAAAAACGATGTAGTGACAAATGTTTCCCACAACATTAGTTTCTCTGTCGCAGATCCATCGTTTGAACCATGTAAGTTATAACGTAAAACGTCCATAATGATGCGGGTAGTAACAACTTCTTTAAAGAAGAACCCCATCATTTCTTTTTGCAAATTATATTGTTTTTGCACACGCATTTAAGAAGAAAATCTAATATTAGTTTTGATAAAAATATGCGCTCACTTTCCATATTAACACAAATATATGTAGATGGCATATATAGGGCCTGTGTTTCCATTACAAATATTATTGAGATCATTACATAAACTATTGTAAATTGACAAAAGATAACACATATTATAATTTCATATATAAATCATATAAATAATGAGACTATTTAAGAAATTCAATATTTATTATTTATTAAGAAATGAAGAATCCTACTTTAATAATAATATTAATAATAACAATAATGATGATGATTGTTATTATTATTATTATTATTATTATTATTATTAAGTAGGATATAGTTTATTTATATTTTACTTCTTGAAAAGTCTACACTTACATCTTGCCACATGCAAACCTCTGCAGAAATGTTCTAACCAACAGGTCCATGTCATATACAGTACAGATACTTCATAAATTCATACATTCATTTTCTTTTCGGCTTAGTCCCTTTATTAGTTCTGGATCGCCACAGCGAATGAACCGCCAACTTATCCATTACGTTTTTACGCAGTGGATCTCTGGGCAACCCATCTCTGGGAAACATCCAGACACACTCTTTCACACTCATACACTATAAACAATTTAGCCTACCCAATTCACCTGTACCACATGTCTTTGGACTGTGGGGGAAACCGGAGCACCCGGAGGAAACCCACATGAACGCAGGGAGAACATGCAAACTCCACACAGAAATGCCAACTGACTCAGCCGAGGCTCGAACCAGCAACCTTCTTCCTGTGAGGCGACAGCACTACCCACTGCGCCACTATACTTAATAAATAACCTACTATACATTAAAAGCATTAACAAATGCTATGTTTTGGAGACGTAACATAAATTACATTTTTTAAATATTCGGTCACCTATGGCTTTTGTTATGTTTGTTATGTGTTTTTTAAACATTTTAAGTTTAAATGTTTGAATGTTCTAATAGGGCACAGGAGGGATAACTAGGAATAAAACACAGCCAGGATCTTTGTTTCTAACTACAGCTCCAGAGAAGTAGCATGTGAAGGCTGTGTCGGATCAAAAGGGTGAACTCTTACAAAATTATAAACAGAGCAGGGTCACGTGACTTCACTTACAGTAGGGAAAGAAATCGAAATAGTCAATTGTCACCTAAAAATATGAGTTAATTTATTTATCTACAATGAAAATGCATAAGATTTCAAGTATAGTAAGCTAAAAATCTGAATTTATCCTTTGAAAAAAAAAAATAGGTCGTTTTTTCTGTAGTGTTGACTGTAAGATTCTAATATGTGCAACCTTTTAAGGTCTTTTTTTCTTAACAAGTCTTCAAGTATAATGATCCACCATAATAGGAATAAGTGGCTACTTATTTTTCTTTAAAAAAAAATTCCCATTGTATATACAATAATTACACACACAGACACACACACTGAACTCAACAATTTAAATATAGTCTACCAAACCAGCAAGTTAAATAAACTTAAATATGCAAGTTTTGGGAGACTCTGTTCCTCAATTAAATTGAGGCAACGAGTTTACTCAATTAATTTTGTTCAGTCAACTTATATGGGTTTTCAGTGTAGGTTCTGAATGTCGATTTATGATTACTTTTCGATTAATCACCCAGCTCTAGTTTTTAAGTTAAAACTTTAACAGATTCTTTTTTTATAATGATATATGTGATACATTTGTATTTTAAAAAAATAATAAGTATAAATACAGTGCATCGGGAAAGTATTCATAGCGCTTCACTTTTTCCACATTTTTTTTTATGTTACAGCCTTATTCCAAAATGGATTAAATTCATTTATTTCCTCCATTCTACATACAATACCACATAATAACAATATGTAAAAATGTGATTTTTTTTAAATTGTTGCACATTTTTTAATAATAAAAACCTGAATTGAGCTCAGGTACATTCTTTTTCCACTGATCATTCTTGACATGTGTCAGCAGCTTAATTGGAGTTCACCTGTGGTAAATTCAGTTGATTGGACATGATTTGAAAAGGCATACACCATATGGTCCCAGGGTTGACAGTGCATGTTAAAGCACAAACCAAGCATGAAGACAAAAGAATTGTGTGTAGACCTCAGAGACAGGATTGTCTCGAGGCACAAGGCTGGGGAAGGTTACAGAAAAAATTTCTACTGCTCTGAACGTTCCAATGAGCACATGGTCCTCCATTATCCGTAAGTGGAAGATGTTTGGAACCACCAGGACTCTTCCTAGAGATTCCTAGAGGACAATGACCCAAAGCACAACACCAAAATTTCAACGGAAGGGCTTCACAACAACTCGGTGAATGTCCTTAAGTGGCCCAGATCTAAATCCTATTGAACATCTCTGGAGAGATCTGAAAATGGTTGTACACCATCACTTCCCATCCAACCTGATAGAGCTTGAGAGGTACTGCAAAGAAGAATGGGCAAAAACTCCCAACAACATTTTCAAACAAGATTTTCAAAAAGACTTGAGGCTGTAATTGTTGCCAAAGGTGCCTCAACAAAGTATTGAGCAAAGGCTGTGAATGCTCATGTACATGAGATTTTTCAGCTTTTTTTATTATTATTCTTAGATTTGCTACACTTTCAAAAAAAAAATTTTTTTTCAAGTTATCATTATTGTCATTATGGGTTATTGTGTGTAATTTTGAGGAAATAAAGAAATTTAATCCATTTTGGAATAAGATTGCAACTTAAACTATGTGGAAAAAGTGAAGCTATGAATACTTTCCTGATGCACTGTAAGTATATGTTTTTGATATGTTAAAATTGTGGTTATGATGACTACCTCACAAGTTAATCCAGAAAAAAATAGTACCTAAAATGCGACTAAAATGCAATATTTAAACCTCAAATGAAAAGAAAATGAGGCAAAAATCTGCAAAAAGATCCACTATTTGTGAGAAACTGAGATTAAAAATCCAGTTTAGTTTGCAAAACTTAAATGATCTAAGTAAATGACTTTCAGTTTAAGTAAGGAATATGGTAGTAAGAAATAAATACTTAATACATTCATTCATTTACCTTCGACTTAATCCCTGACTTATCAGCGTCGGGTCACTACAGCAGAATGAACCTTTAATTACTCTGACATATGTTTTACTCAGCGGATGCCCTTCAAGCCACAACCCAGCACCGTGCTGGAAAACACCCACGAACGCTCTTATTCACACTCATACACTATGGCTGATTTAGTTAATTCAGTTCACTTATACTGCATGTCTTTGAGTGGAAACCCACACAAATATTAAAATTCTTCAGATAATAAAATTATAAAAGACTAAAATTACTTTTAATACTATTATTGCTATTTATTTATTGCTATTAATTAAATTAAGGTGCACAATTCAATTAAGTCAATGTAACAAATAGATATTTACAATGTACTTCATGGTGGGCTCAGGTTAGTCACAGCAGTCAGTTTTACACAACAAATTGACATGAATTAGACTTTATTCTGATCGCTGCCTTTAGGCATTCTGTGACTACAAGTAACTAAGTGACTAACTGCAACTTTATGTCAGCTGCAAGTTATTTACAAGTTAATTTTAGTAGAAGTACTATTTTAACAGGTTAGCTGGTTAACATTAACAAATAACTAGCCCTTCTTTGAAATTTTTATTGTTTTTCAAATATTTCCCAAGTGACGTTTAACTGAGCAAGGAAATGTTTTGCAGTATTTTCTGTAAAAGCCAACCGTCAACTTTATCGAATGAAATGAGTGTAGTTAACTCAAAATTTACTGAAAGTTAATTCTACTCATTTGAAAAGAGTTTTGAACTCAGTGTTGAAGGTAATGAGTTAATTCATTACCTAATTTCTTCAACTTAAATGGAGTAAGTTTACAGTACTTATATAGATTAGTTTTTGAACTCAAAGGTTTTCAGCAATCGATTTCCTCAATTGGTTTGAGTTGCCTTAACTTATTGGGTTTTAGAGTACTCAGTCGGTTTGAGTTCTCTTCATTTATTGGGTTGTACTGTGCTCAATTTGCTTCATTTACTCATTAGGATTAGTCTTTGAACTTACTGTAAATGGTTTGTTGCTATCGGTTTCCTCACATGGTTTGAGTTGCCTTAACATTTTGGGTTTTACAGTGTAGTTGCAATGAGCTTGGCACTATCTTTAAATTAATATCTAGTCTTTAATGTCACATGATCTTTAAGATATCATTCTAAGATGCTGATTTGTTGCTTACAAATGATAATTAATGTTATCAGTGTTAAAAAACTCTGCTTTTGAGTAAGCCATGATATATCGGTAATCAAAATGTTGCTATAATTTAAGTATAATGTGAAACTATAATAAATTATAAATATTAATACAGATTGTATTACAATTGTGACAATAAAGACATTCTAATGTCAGATGTAAGGTTTCTTTTCCAAATAAATGTTGCTCTTTTTTCTAAGAATTTAAAAAAATTATAAAGAAAAGAACTATTCATCAGCATGTCAGAATGTTGTTGTTCAGTTTTTTTAAGAGGATCATTTGACCTATCAAAACTAGAGCAATATAATAACTAAAATAACTTTTCATCATCACAGGTTTAAATTTCACATTTTTTCATTTAAAATAGATGACAAATTTATATGCCTACAGTATACAAGCTTTCAGTTTTTGCAAAAAAAGTATTATAATAATAATATTAAATGGTGAGCTACCTCGTGAAAACTTTTTAATAGCTGTTCATTCAAAACTTATAAAGCATGATCTTATTCTACATTCCTAATCCTACTTAAACTCAACTACTGCTTAAATATCTAAAAATAAGTAGCAAATTAGTCGTTTATTGAGCTAAACGTTTTAGTTGATGGTTTATAAATAGCAAGAATTGTACTTTATATTAAAGAGTGACAATATTCTTTA